AGTGGTACCCACTCCCCTTTCCTGGCAAAGCTGCGCTGGTGCAGTTGGCACCCGCGGGAAGGGTTTCCTTGGCAGGGTGGTGGCTTTCCTGCTTGTTGTCCCTCCCGGCTGCGGGAAGCAGCTCTCAGAGCTCCCGCTTGTTTTGCTTCCAGGGTTTGACGTGGAAATACCGTGCTGTCTTTTTATTATTTTTTTTTTAGATTGCCAAGCGATGCCTGTGGTCCCCAGGCTGCCACTGCCGTGCTTAGCTGCGGATGCTCCTCGTGGCTCTGTGCAGCACTTGCTGGAGGGCGCTGGGCTTTTCTGAGGAACTTCTGCCAGTGGCTTTGGTTCTTTTAGGTGGCATTTGTGCCACTTCTCCTATGGCTCTGTGTCAAACCGAGCTGCTTTTTTCTCCCCTGTGGGCCACAGCCCGTGACCCGGCTAAAGGTCTTACCCTCCTGCCCCCACAGGGGAAAACACAGCGTCCCAAACCAAGCAGTCCTCTTGGTATCCACGCCAGTCCACAAATACCCGTAGCTTATTTTTTTCCCCTGCAAGCTCTGTTTAAGCCTAAACCAAGGCACTGTGCTTATGTTGGGAATAAATAAGCTCCGTTCAGTGACTTCTGCTACACATGAGGTCAGGCAGAATGAGCTAATGCTCCCTCCTGGCCCTGAAATAAATTAAACGCTCAGAAAGCAAAATTTGGTCCTGCAACTTCTGAGCTGCTCTCGCCTTTCCTTTCGGAGGAGCAGGAGCCCCAGGACCACCTCGTGCCCACTTAAATGCACGGGGGCAGCTGCTGGGGGCTGGAGTGCTGCAGGAGGCTGCACAATGCGGGGTGATGCCCTCGGCAGCATTCAGAGGGTAATTAATCTCGCCGTACCAGCAGTGGGCTGGCTTCCCCTGAAATATTGTTCTGGTGAGCCCCATGTGAGATTTTTAACAATTGCAAAGCTTGCGGACAAACCCCTTGTTTCTATTATTTCCTTATTTGTGTGAGAAAGGGCCGGTTATAAATGAACTCGTGTGCTTATAAAAGCCAGCAGTGGCATTGTCCTGCTCTCCCAGGCCTCATTTTGTCCCCCCTTTGCCAGCACTGTGCACGCTGGTGGAGCTGCCATAGCATTTTTTTTCATTTTTTTCCCCCCCCTTTTTTTTTTCCTTTCTTTTTTGCAGCCAGGATGTTTTTTCTTGCCTTTTTATTGTTCCAGTGACCTAGCAACTCGGCTGCGGTGGAGCCCTGCCAGCAGACTTCCTCCCCGCGCCGTCTGACAGTCTCCAGCAGCACTGCCCTCGGATGGGAGCAGGAGTTACACCGACAACAGCCTGGGTCCAGCACGGCTTGGCTCTGCCCTCGCCTGCGCTGGTGGCCCTGCTGCTGCCTTCCCGCTCGGGAAAGCTTCGAGTGGACCTTAAATCCCTGGAAAGAGGAGCGAGGAGTAGTGCGTGGGTGATTTTTCCTCTTGCACCGCTGCAGCAGAAAAGCCTGGAGGATTTTAAGAGGGAATTAGGTGTCTGCAAGCTGCCCGGTTCTTGCTCGGGGAGCTTTTAGTGGAGTTTCTGCATGGATATGGGGTCTTTTGGGGAGTGCGGATAGTCACGAGACGGCTTATCACTATTCGAAGTGGGCTCGTATTTGAAAGTGTTTTCCAAAGGTTCAGCAGTAAAACAGATTTTTTTTATTTTTTTATTTTAATTTTGTCCATTCAGTTGCCAAAAGCTGCACAAAAGGCAGACCTTGTGACCAGAGGCTTAAGTCACTGCTCTGAGCCCCAGGGTGGTGGGTTTCCAGAAATAGGGGTCTATGGGATCCCAGGGACCTGGGCATTAAACCCAAATTGTCCAAGCAAGTTGAGCACAAAATGCAGGTTTCCTAGGCTTGAGCTGAGGCCTGGGAGGCTGTGCCTCCACAGAGCGGTGCTTCGGACACCAAAACTGAAAGGCTGGAAAGCACTGGGTAAGCAGGACGGCATCCTGTCCCTCTGCAGCACACGCTTTGTCCTTGGCCTTTGGAAGCGACCCCGGCTGGTGTGTGCTCTTCATTTCGGAGTACCTGCTCTTTGCTGCTTCAGGGTGCTGCTCTGAGAGAAATTACGGATTTTTTTCTTCTCTTACGTTATCTCAGATTCCCTAGGCTTTGGGATCATGGACGTGGAGCAACTAAAAAGGATAGGAAGTAAAAGCAGCCCTCGTCATCCTGTTGTGGTCCCACATAGCCCCACAAGAACCACACCGCTGTCCCCAGCCCCGGGGCAGCACGGGCAGACGGACACAGACAGACAGCCACTGAAATCCCAGCTGCTGCCACCCACACCAGGGACCTCGAAACTCGCAGCCTGCAGGGCTGTGGCTGCTGTTAAGCCCCATCCCCAGCTGCTGTATTAAAGCCTGGGTCACCTCTGGTGGCTGGATAAATCCTCCTCGTCGTGGAGTGGAGAGGGAGCCGCGATGCCAGAGAAAAAAATAGAAAGAATTAGTAAAAAGGGTTAAGTGCATGTGGTTAAAAACCTCTTGCATTCTTCCCGTGCTTAGTGCACACGAGGGACCTGCTTGAAGCAATATTATCGGCGTGTTTACGCTGAGCTGACCAGTCTCGAGCACGAACGTTTTATTTTTTTTTTTTTAAGCTCCAGTTTTCCTCCTCCTCCTCCCCCCCCCGCCTCGGGCTGCTCCTTTCAGGGCAAGAACAAGGAAGGAAATTGAAAATCCCAGCGCGCCCTGGACAGTCCAGATTTAGGGCTGCGGCTTTTGTTCACAAAACCTCGCTTGGCTCCCAACCGGCCTCCGCCCTTCATCCCGACATCCGCAGCCGCGCTTCCCAACGCAGTGCCCGGGGGCCAGCAGCCACCGTGCCCCCCGCTGCCCTGCCTGCGGCTCTGCCCCTGCTCCTCCTCCTCCTCCTCCCTCGAGCCCACAGCTTCGCCTCCGGCCAGCCGGGAGTTTTCTAAGTTTAGCTGACTTTTTCCCCACCCCGAGCCTGGGGTGATGCTGAGATGATGCAACCCCGCAGATGTGGGCTCCGCAGTTGTGGCTGCGCTGCCTCTTGGGGAGGCTGCTGGGTGCTCACGTCGCCCTCGGATGGTCCTGGGGTGGCCACAGCCCTCCCGAGGATGCCTGTGAGGTGGCACAGCTGCTGCTGAACGCTGGTAGTGTTGTGGTTTTTGGTATCGTGCTGTCCCACGGCTGAGGATGTGGCCAGGGCTGAGCGGTCACCTCCTGGCCAGGGCAGTGCCTTGGTCACTCACGGTGTGGCTGGACACCCAAAATCACCGGTCCCCAGCAGGTCGCTGCACGTTTCCAGCAGTTTCACAAGGTCCAGCCAAGCCAGGGCCTTGGGAAATCTGCTGGAACCTGATCTGTTTGTGCTGGCCACGCCGTAGCTCGGCTCCCCCAACCCAGCTGCCTCGTTATTGCTTGCAGAGAAAAAGGAGCTCCCAGCCCCGCTCCGCCTGGGGAGCAGCACTGCTGCTTTTAACGGGAAGCGCAAACACTGGGCCCGCAGGTGGCGCGACGGCTTTGGGCTGGAAGTAAAATATTTCTCTTGACAGCCGTGGTCGTGGGGAGGTAAGAGGCAGCACCCAGGTGGCAGCATAGCCTGCGACAAAAGGAGTGGTGACGGGTCTGTGCCCGAGCTACCGGGCTGCCCTGCTGTCAGCCTTCAGTGAGCGGAGGAGGCCAGGTGGTCCCGGGTGTGGTTTGTTGGGGGAACCTTGCATCTGGCCCATGCTCTCCAGGGAGGGTCATCTCTGCAGGAGAGTCAAGGAGCGAGAGGTTGTGGTGGTTGGGGGTCTCCAGACGTCTGCCCGGTCCCAAAAGGTTCCTTCATCTTTCTTTTTTAAAGCTTTTATGGATAGGGGAAGGGAGAAAAGCTGTTGTGCTGCACTCCAGCACACCCAGAGTTTTCGGCAGCAGGTGGACTCGTGGGCTATGGTTACAGGCCAGGTATTGACTTGTAAGGGAGGGCAGCAAGCATCCCACCACGACGTGCAGGCTGAGCTACCAAAACGTCTCTCTGTTCTTGGTGAGCTCCCACCGAAGCTATGGCAGATGGAGGGAGGAGAGCGCTCCCCAAACTGCTGCTGGCTGCTGAGCCACATCCTCAGCCCCTGTCCGGAGGCTGGTGGGGAGATGTGTTTGTGTTCTGGAGGTGCTTGCGGCTTTTGGAAATCCTGTAGAGCACATAATGCCTGTTGCCTTCCCTGGGAGAAGGCAGTTCTGCATCCCCAAGATCCTGCAGGCCCTTGTGCAAGGAGGGGGAGCTTGCTGCTGGTGGCACATGAGCACAGCTGGCAGCAAGCAATTTGGGGGAAGAGCAAGCTGAGCTAAAGGGCAGTGCTGGCCTGGGAACAAGCATTTATTCTGCAAACTTGTTTGTTCATTTTCTAATGAATTGAGGAAACACTTCTGGGTGAGGGCAAGGTGGGAGCTTGGAGCAGCCTTTTCACAGGAGCAACAACCTAAATCTTTTGGGATGTAGCAGGGGCTCTGGCCACCTTAGCTCACAGAAAAGACTTGAAGATCAAACCTCTTCCCTATCTTGTTGGTGAAGTTCTGATAGACACTGACACCAAAATGCCTCTCACCTTGAGGTGCAGCAGTGCCTGGATAGCCGGTGTAATCCTCTCCATAAGTTTCTCCCCTTTGTCCTATGATGGGCACATTGTGCCTGGCACTAGTTCTGGCTGGCCACAGCACATGAATCTCTAATGTGTTTTTTTTTAATTTTTTTTTCCTCCCTTAAAGATTTATTCCTCCTATCACACACACAAAAAGCATGAGGGTGTTGAGTGGCACTGCTCCTGCACCTAGAGGTGGGTTTCGGTGTTTGGCACCGCTGACTGGTCTGATTTACACTAGTGTGAATCCAAAAATAAATTTCATGGCTGTGTTTTGATTATGCAACTTTTTCTCTAGTGCAAATGAGCTCAGAGCTTGGCCTCGCTGTTACTGCAGTGAGCCGAGCCTGCACATCCAGCACTGATGGGATTTTAATTTTTCCTCCTTATTCCTTTCAGTCATTGACAGCCATCAGGCAAGGAGAAGTTCGGACACGGCAATGAGGACTTCCAGCTCTCTCGTGGGTGACATGGAGCTTGTAACGATGCTGGCCAGCAGCCGGGAGCCAGGGGCAGACCATTTCAGGACCCCCACCAGCACTGGGGCTTTCCCCCTGCCAGGAGCAGGGGGCACAGCGAGCAGCCCCCCTCCCGGTGAGTTCTCACACCAGCAGGACAGGGCTGTGCTGATTGCCCTGTCCCCATTTCCACTTTTTTCTTAACACCTCTTTGTGAAATAAGTGTTGCTGGGATATAGGAACGTAGAGGTTGTCCTAAATTTTTTTCATTCCTCGTTTTTCCCCATTTGAGGACTTCAACAGGAGCTGTCACATCCCAGGCAGCTGCCCCAGCTGCCAGCTACTGTTTGTCCTGGTGGGAGCGCTCCACACCTCGCACATTTGTAGTAGTTTTTAAAAAAGTCTGTGTTTCTCTTGCCACATAGACAAATGCAGACAAATTTTGAAATCCTGACATCCCATTTTGGATGGCAGAAATCCCTTTTTTGATGACAGAAGCCCTCTGTTCCCAGCAGTCCCTCTAGCTGTATGCGCTGTGAGAAATGTGGGCAGTGCTGCTGTGACCCTACTTACTGCATGTCGTAGTGCTGGGTACCACTGTGGGTGATGCTGCTGCAACCCCATCTGAGACACCTTAACCTGGCCAGCAGGAATATTCATTTCTCTTCTTTCTTGCTCTTTGCAGCTGCTGGAAGCCTGGTGAGAGGCAAGAGGGCGCTGGCTTCTCCTGGAGACCCTGCAGACACAGAGACGATGCTGACAGCGGGGCCAGCCTGGTCCTCATCCCCAGCTTCGTGGGCCCACAGGGTGCTCCCCAGCACCCCCGTGCCTGGCTCCCCGGCACAGCCCTCATCCTCCCACCCATCACTCAGCACCCAGCCTGGTGTGAGCAGTGCCACGCTGCACTCTGAGGATGCCACAGGAAACTCTGCAAGCCCTGCACTTACAGCATTGCCTGCCTCTGAAAACACTTCCAGAGGTGAGCTCTGCTGGCCTACGGTTCTGTGTTGTATCTCCAAAATATCTCTGGAAGCCAGGGACCTCCTCCCACCACGTTCCTTGCCCAGGTGCTACCTTTCCTCTTCTGGTTATGTGCCTGAGAAGCTTTCAGATGCACAAGCCATGCCCATGTTCACAAACATTTGCTTGCTACAGGAGTAGGGGTGTACATGGTTCCTACTGCCTTCTAAGGCCAGTTATGGGCTACTTTATGGAAAATCTGAGCTTTCCACAGAAATGCTGATTTACTTATTTATTTCAATGCTTGTTATTGTTCTGATGGTTAGCTGAAATTCCTGGCAGAGACCAGAAAAAAGCATCTGGCCAAAAACCCCAACATTTTCTATTGCCAAAAAAAAAAAAAAAAAAAAAAGGCAGGTAGAACCTTGGGGCCTTATCAATGCCTTTTCTTCAGGGTGGGGGCCCGTAGCAGCACAATTTCCCTGCTGGCCCACTGCTGCCTGCAGAGCAAAGCCCAACTTCCCACTCAAGCCACACCGCAGCAGGGCCCTGTGCTTCAGACCCGGTAACAGTTTCCCCACAGGGGCTCTGTGGGGAGCACAGATCAGCCCCCACCTCTGCAGCCTCCTTGGTTGACCTTCCTTGGGCCTTCCACATCTCACCTGGCTTTGGGAAGCCCGGAGCAGGCGAGCTGGTTTCTCCACCATTTGTAGACTTTTCCATGGGGGCTTCAGCGCGGTGCTTTCCAAGCCACGGTTCTTGCACATGCAGTAACTCGGGTCTTCCTGAATGGAGGGGATTCATGCCTTTCCAAAAGAGCATTTCATCCAGATTGAAAACTTCCTTTGCTTAATATCCATACGTGCAGTGTAAGCATCTGGGAAGAAAATGGATCCATCTGTTTATAATTTCATGTATATAAATCCAGCTCTTTTATTGTGCCGTAGCCGCTGGAAGCAGCTACCAGCCGTCCAACAGCTCAGCAGCAGAGAAGAGAATTTGGGGGTTTCACACCACCAGCACCTTCATGTCCACGACAGCCACCAGAGGTGCCGGGAGGACGTTACGGTCTCTGCCAGCCAGCACCAGACTGGCACATGCAGCAGAGATTTCCACCTCTGGTACAGAAACCATCTCCTCTCCAGACCAGACCCGGTCCCCTGGGCCATCTGTGGGAGCAGAAGCTGGTGGTGGCACGGATGCCATCGTACCCTCCACAGCCCCGCAGCTCGCCCACTCATCATCTGCCTCGGACAGTGCTGCCACGTGTGAGTTTTGATAGCTAGCTGTATAACTCAGAACATTATTTAAAGAGTCTTTATAAACAAAATACATCCTTTCTATTTTAAAGAAAGGAGGAATAATATTGTACTTGGCACATTCTGTACGTTTAAAAACATTTCACAGAAGTGAAAGTATGGATAAATATTATTCTTGTTGGAAGAGGAGGATAGATTTTTTGTTGAAAACTTACAGTTGAATTTTGCAAGCAATTACTTCAGGAGTTCCTATGTTGAAACCATTTTTTCCTTGTCCTAATGATTTCCCAGTAGTAAATATTTCCTTATTGCATATTCACACATACATTGTCTGCACCTAGAGATGTTGGGCAAAACCTACCCGGCTGTTTTAGTTTTCTATTTCCTCTCTCCTTTTTCAGCTTTTCACAGCAGTCATGGACCCAAGAGCATCCCAGTCACAGGAGAGGCAATGCTGCACTCAGAAGTGTCCTCCGTGCTCACCAGTGTGGCTGTGGGGACACCAGGGTCCCCCTCGAGCTCTGCCACCAGCACTGACTCCACCAGCAGTTTGGGACAAACCTTGTCTTCCTCGGTGGCCAAGGCACACCAAACTGATGGCTGGCAGGGAGACACAGACCTCACTGAGCATCCCCAGGAGCTCAGCAGCTTGCTGTCTGCCTCTGCACATGTTTTTACAGGTAATGTGGTTAGTCTGAAAGATGCCTGCTTTGTGCCTGGAGTGGGTTTTGCATCCCTGATCTTCATTTTTTTCCCATAGGGTATCACCATCAGTCACTGTTGGATGTATGTGTATTTTTATTACCAGCTGCACTGGGACTAGGGGAAGGGTGGAAGTTGTTTTCAGCTTATGAAAAACTGCAAAGTAGCAGTGTCCTAGCTGCTATTGAAATTCCCATACTGAGAAAAGCAGCCATTGTTTATAAATACGTATGACAAAAAGATCACTCATCGTATGTGTAACTCTGTCTGCATAAGTCAAATCTATTTTTGTCCTATCTTAGGTATCAGAAGCAGCCGCCAACCAACTGACACATCGACGGCGGAGAAAGAAACCTCAGCTTCCTTTACCACCAGTGCTTACGTTTCAGCCACCGCCACCGGCAGCGGAGGGAGGCCACCAAGGTCTGTCACAAACAGCAGCCACTGGGCGACAGAAGTCTCTGCTCCCAGCAGTGGCATGTCCAGGACCTCGGGCACCATCGGATCCTCACCTGCCTCTTCTGTAAGAGCGACCTATGGAGTGCATGGGGCCAGAGAGACCACAGGTTTCAGCCAGCCTGTGGAAGACCCTTTGCTGCTACGCTCTCACTCTCCTGCAGAAGGTCCTACAGGTGAGCTCGAGTCAGAGGTGAAGTCCATTTTTATGGGGAGTAAAAGGAGGGTAGTTATTTTATCCTTCACTACCCATGTATCACAAAACATTACAACTATGTTGAATATACTGTTAAGAAAGGTGTAGCATGATTTCTGGGTCTGAAGGAATTCAGCTCTTTTTTGAGGAAAAAATTTGGTTTAGCGTTTTTACCTAAAAGGCACACGTGAAAAGTTTCCTTAGGCCAAGAAAAATAATTTACTTTCGAATCATGGTAATTTTTTACCATCTCCAGTTGTTATTTCTGTTTCATAAGCAAGGGAACTAAGCACGTGGGGATTCAATCATGTCCCTGCAGTTCCAGGGATTAGGCTTCAGTTCCTGCCTTGTACACAGTGGACCACACTGCTTCTCAGAAATGGAACCAGCTCAACAGATTCAGGGCAGCTTTGGATGTGGTCTCTGAGGTCCATCAGGCTGTGCTTTGCTCCTTGACCCTGCTGTGGTGCTGAAGGAATCTGAGCCCACTTCTTCAGCCATGACCTTCACACACTGCTCAGCGTTGTGCCTGGTCTGAACTAAATTCCTGCCTTTTCTGGGTCGTTAGGATACGTGTTTGTTCTAGCAGCAAGGAGTGCCCTCAGGCACTTAATGGTGAAATCAAGTGCAAGGCATAGTTGTTCAGCAGTTTTTACATAACAGCACTTTTCCTGGCATCAAAACACATTTTTTTTATGAGATAGATTTCTATGGGAAGGATGCACATCTTTGGAAATTTCCTATTTTCCCTGGATTTATGTCTTCTTGTATTTTCTACCTGTGCGTGTACTCACTGCCTCTGGGTGCTATTGGAAGAAAGCTCGTCTGTTTATTTATAGTTTTACATATGAAATTTTTTCTTGGTCGTATCTTAGCTACTGGAAGCAGCCTTCCATCATTCAGCATCCTGACAACGGAGGAGAGAACTGATTTTGATGCCACCAGCTCCTCCATGTCCACAACAGCCACCAGAGGTGCCGGGAGGACGTTACGGTCTCTGCCAGCCAGCACCGGACTGGCACATGCAGCAGAGATTTCCACCTCTGGTACAGAAACCATCTCCTCTCCAGACCAGACCCGGTCCCCTGGGCCATCTGTGGGAGCAGAAGCTGGTGGTGGCACGGATGCCATTGTACCCTCCACAGCCCCACAGCTCGCCCGCTCATCATCTGCCTCGGGCAGTGCTGCCACAGGTGAGCTCCAACCCTGTGGGTCTCAAATACCCGCTGTGTAGAAGAGTGAGAGGATGTTAGGAGGTGCTGGACAACGCTATCAGGTGTAATGGAGGAATGTTTCAGTGAATGTTATTTTTTGCATTTAGTCACCAGAATAGCCCAGCCTTATTGCAGTGAGCAGCCTGGCACCCAGCTTTGTTGTGGTTTCTGAGGTAGCACCATTTCAAGGCAGGCCTGCTGGCTGTACGGGAGGCAAGGCCCACTGGCCCCGACTCCACCCTAGCAAACGAATGCATTATTTACTGATAAAAGCACAGTCATGCTTTGTTTCAAGTACCAGGGAGTTACAGGGTGCTGTAGCCCCATCTCACTTTGCCACGGGCATCGTGGGGCACACAGGACAGACTGGAGCAGGTTGGTGAGCACACCAGTGCTCCCACCTCTTGTTTTTGGTGCCCTCTTCAGGGTGCCGTCCTGTGAGCAGCCTTTCCCCAGACCCTCAGGTTGGCAAGGCTTGTCTTTGCAATTGGCATCTACTGCAGGTTTAAAGCTTCTCCCACCTTGTATCTTCCTGAGGGCGGTGAGGGAAGAGGGTGTGCCTATCTGCTTATACTTTAATATGTATAAACCCATTTTGCTTTGTCGTTTCCCAGCTGAAGGAGCTATAACATCATCCAGGGGACGAAGCCTGCCTGATACTCCTCTGACCAGCACGCCCAGCTCGGTGACAGCCACCAGCGGTGGGGAGAGGACCGTGGAGCCCATGGTGGACACCAGCACAGGCGACTCTGCTCCTGCTTCAGCCAGCACCAGCTCCCTGGATATTGTCCTTCTGCTGTCTTCAGTGACAGAGCCCAGGAGGCAGAGAGATATTTCACAGACCAATGCTGGCCTCGTTGAGCTTCCAACAAAGCCACTGCCTGTGTTTCCTCCTGGTGTTTCGGTGCCTTCATCTTCACCAAGTGCTTCAGGTGGGTTGTGTGGGTTCCTCATTTGCCATGAAGGGCCCCTCATCCAAGTTCCTACCTTTGCTTTCTGGTTTTAAGCTAGATTTTCCATATTAATAATCCCAGTTTGTGGCGAAGGAAGCCTGAGCATTGCAGGGCTGGTGAGTTATTCACCTCTGCATTGTGGCAGCACTTCTCTTGCCAGGATGTAGATGGCCAGGCATCTTCCCAGGGCCACATGTACATGGAGCAAGTGTTTAAACTCAAGCATGAACTCAGCTGGGTTCCTACCTCACAGCTCTTAATATTCCAGCATGAAGTTTTCAAGCATATATATATTTTTATTTTATTTTTATTTTTTTTTCTCCCTACATTTAAAATTCTGCCTTTTTCCCAGAGCCTGCACATCCTGCACTCCCTGGCCAGGGATAATAATATAATAAATATATGTATGTCTGTCTGTCTTTGCTTTGCAGTTCCAGAGAGAGGGCAGTGGGTTTCTGGTGTTCCTACTGAGACCACGTATGTCTTGACCGTGCTCTCCACCCGTGGGGAGGGGACATCTCGGGACGAAGCTAACCGCAGCACATGGAGCATGGAAATGGAAAGTCCCACATCCCATCCGGGCACAGCTGGGGAGCCCCACTCAGGCCCCCTCCCATCCTTCCCAGCATGGTCTGGAGGGGAACACGTCTCCTCTGACTATGCAGGGTACACAGAGCCCAAGGTCACCCTTTCATCCAGAGTCTCCACCTATTTCTCAGCCTCCGGTGAACCTTCCAGTGAGTCTTTCTGAACTTCACAGTCGTGGCTGAATTAAGACAAAGCTCCCTTCCCTCTCCTTCCAGCTCTTCCATGGGCTGGTGTTTCCACCAACACCATTCAGAGCTGCTGTGGGTGTCGTGGGTGTTATTTACAAGCTATGGTGCTTCAGCTCATTAGTATTGTGTATCTGCAGCTGTTGGTGTTTAACAGGAACAGTCTCAGGAATGTGACCTGTATCTTCTTGCTACAGGAAACATCTAATACCTGCCTGGGTTGGGGTGACAATTATAAGTAGCCTAAATATGCCATTGTGATGCTAAGGGTGTACTGATTGTGCCTGTATATTTAAACACTCCTCTTCCCTTGGAGTAGGCTTTGTTTGTTAAATCCATATTTAAGGTAACAGATACGTGAGGACTACCTAATCTGTGTTTAATCTGTATTGATAAATGCAATTTTATTAATCTGCATTTCAAACTAGAATTACTATAGAGCTCAAGAGTACTGTCTGATCTGTGGTGGTAAAATCAAACGCCTGATTTTCAATCCTATTTCAGCTGCGGGAAGCAGCCATCGTTCCCCCAGCAGCTTGAGTACAGAGGAAGAGATTTCCAGCTCCTACACCGATGCCTCGCACCGTTCAGCCACGTTAGCTGGTGGAGAGGGGACACGGGTGACAAGCAGTGATCTGGCCCATAGCACAGAGAGCTCCGCTTCCTACACAGAGACCGCCAGCTTGTCAGAGCCGATTTGGCCAGCATCAGCAGACCAGAGCAGGACAGTCAATGCCTCAGTTGGCAGCACAGGCTTCGCAACAGAGACTCTCTTCACACATTCTTCTGAGATAGCCACTGATCCGTCTTTCCAAAATGATCTCACAAGTAAGTTAGTGTGTCCAAATGTGTGCTTTTTGAGGGTAAGAGGGTTCCCATTGTCTTGCATTTATCTGTTATGTTCAAAGCTCTCGTTCATTGGTACATGCAGTGCCACCCGTGGGTGTACTCGGAGATATTCTCATGTCTCCAAATGCTGACACAAACAGAGGCCTCAAACCCAGGTCCCATAGCAGGATGTTCATTCCAAAAGTGAAGCCCCGAACCTGAGCAGTAGCAGGAAAACTCTCCTGTTTTGATGGTCATGGTATTTTTTTTGTATCCTAACTGGTTTGTTGTGGGTAATGCTTTCAGCAGTGTGTCGTGCTGTAGGTCAGCATGAATTAAAGAGTCAGTAATAGAGTTACACCAAATTCTGAAATTTTAATATCCTATTTTTTGATTTTTAGTGATTGCTGAAATTATATGTACATCCTGAAATTCATATTATAAGATTGACTGCTCCTTTAATGCTAAATAATCTGAATTTTTGCATGCTGTTGTGCTACTCATTTAGGATTTCCTGACTGCAAAGTTTTCAGTCAATGAGTTCATGATAAGCTGCAAATTAACATAATGTAATAATTTCATCCTACAGAGGCATGGAGTTCACTGTGTCTGAAAACAAACTGACTTAAGAAGATGGATATATTTTAGTTTGGAAAAGAGGATAAGAGGGAGACAGTTTTATATGAGTTTTATAAATAATGAAAGATAGAAAGTGCTGATGGGTTTTCCTGCTTAGCTTGCCACAAAGTATCACAGAACGATAAGTGCTCAATCACATTAAAAAAGCAATATTGGAAGAAGAGATTTTTTTTAGAAACCTGCACTTTTCATGGGAGTTTTATGTCTGTTAGAGTTCATCATTTTAAAATGAGCTAAGGAGTACAGAAGACTCCTAATTCAATACCCACACTTGGATTATGCTTTGAACTTTTAGATGAGTATGGGCTTATTTATAGACAAGAACATTTTATGTATTTATCACATAGCTGTAATATCAAAATAGTTTAATTTTATTCTGTCATTCTGGTGTATTTTGTCCTTTCCTCCAGGTTTTTCAAGTAGCCATCAGCCAGTCAGTAGCCTTGATGCTGAGAAAAGGACCTCAGTTTCTCATACGGATGGCACGTACATTTCAACCACGTACACCAGAGGAGGAGAAAGGACCCTCCTGTCTATCTCAAATAGCAGCACCTCTGCTGACTCCTCCGAAAGTTCCACCTTTTTTTCAGAAATTTCCAACCCTGCTGACTCATCAAAATCTTCCGTGGCACAGGACAGGAGGAGCAATGCATCCAGCAATGGCAGTTTTGTTGAACCATCTACGGAGCCGTTGTTGGTGCACTCTTCCCAGCCATTGACTTCTGCTTCTGTAGGCAACACACAAAATACGACTCTCTTCGACACTGACTCCGAGGTGTTGCCCACTGGCAGATCATCTCTGTCTTCATCAGCATTTCCACCCTCTTCCTCAGCGTCACCACTGCATCACTCGCTCACATCAACACCACCACCAACTTACCTGTTGGCAACATCAGAGCCATCCGAGATGCTCTCGTCCTCTGTGATGGCATCTTCAGCCCCTCTGCAGGCTTTGTCGTCCTCTTTGTCCACTTCCTCGCTGCTTTCGTCATCGTATTCATTACCATCGTTACTGCCTCTGTTTTCATCACCATCATCCGTCTCACAGTCCGATGACAGCAGTCGAATAAGCACCCCCGTAGCTACGACTGCGGTCAGGCGGGTGCCCTCCACGGCCGCCGTGGCTGGCAGCTCACCCAGGGAGACCAGCAAGCACGGTGGTACTCGCCAGCCCCCAAACACCACCACCTTCACCCCCACCACGTCTCCCCCACTCCCCACGACGCCCATGGAGCTGCTCGGTGGCCGCATTGCATCCACGCCTGCTCCCACGGTGGTAACGGAGAACACCTCACCGAGAGCCGCCACCTCCCAGGGGGGCACCGCTGGGAAGGCGCCGCCGCTGCTCACCACGGCCAGCGAAGCCCCACGGGCAGTGCTGACGGATGCTCCCCTCAGCACCTCACCAAGTGCAACAAGCCACGGCGCCGTCGTCCCTGCAGTACCATTAACCACGGTGAAACCCCTTGTGCTGACAACCCCGGCCAGCCGCCGGCCAACCCCGACTGATGCTAGCACCACAAAACCTCACAGAACTCAAACGCCCGCTGCTACTAAACACGTTTATACCCCTGGTGAAAGGACAGAAGCTACAGATCTCACCACTTCGATACCTAGTAAAGTCACCAAGGAAAACATCCCTGCTACAAGTCCTCCTGAAATCCCTCCAACCATTAAGACCACTGTGAGCGTAAGAACTACTTTGGCTGCTACCAAACGCACAACCATCCCTCCACCAAGTAGCACAGCTGGCGTGAGGACATCTCCAGCAACAGGTAAGGTGTCTAAAAGTGCTCTCCAGCGGTGGGGCCAGCAGTAGCTGGGTCCCACTTGAAGGGTCTTTGAAGGGTTACTTATGTGTATATGACAAGTCTGTTGTCAGCAGCATTTGGGAATAAGAATTCTGTCTCTGTTCTGGTATTTTTAAGATAAGGATTTAGCAATCATGCTGAGCTGCTGGGGAAAAAAACCAAACATTTTTCTGAATGTTTCCGATGGAAATGTTAAGCTGAAATATGGGAATTTAAAAAAAATAAAGCTGATTGGCTTTCCAGGTAAGCTTAGGATGCACTGAATATTTGTCGTGAAGAATTGAAGAATAGACCGAGCTCTCTCTTATTCGGGTGAAAAGGCACTCAGTTGGCCAGCACTCAGTATTTTTGTTGGAAGTTTTTCTGTTATCACGACCTATGGCTGGTCTCTCCCCATCCTACTAACTAACCACCCCCTCAGGGGCCTGTCACTTCTCCTGGCATATCACATACCATGGTCTTGCTGAGCACATTGTGGCAACCGAAATTGTCAAAGGGAAGCTGAGAAACACCTTATTCAACCATTTCAGATTTGCTTTTTAATTACCTTGTGGCCCAGGAGCGTTCTGTGAATCCATAGTGGTATTAGAGGTGGGAAGGGTTGTGCCTTGGGCACAGTGTTCACCCTGGAGAACCCAGGCTTGGCACGGGCAGACGTCTCCCCGCGTGGCTGAAGGGATGCTCCCTGAGCAGGAGTGGGGGTTCTCGGGATGTGGGAGTCTACAGGCGGTGGCAGTGGCAAACTGCAGCACATTCTGAGGAGTCTAGTGTCAAAAAGCACTGGGGAAGAACAAAGGTTTTCATTTATCGCTGCTGCCAGGCTCCTTATCTTCTCAAGTATATGTATTGAGCTTTTTTATATGAACGGAAATCGATTCTGCATTTAAAGTTCAGACGTCTGACCCTAGTGCCACTGTAGGGTATTGTGTGTACTAATTGCATTAATCTCAGCGCAATACTGGCAGTAGTGTATATTCTACAAGTAATTAAGCATTTAAAGGTTATTTCTTGGGCTGATTGGTTTTAATTATCGCTATGGATTCATACCAAAAAAAAAAAACAAACTGTGGGGGACTTTTTTTTTAAATCAAAAACTAATGTAATGGATCCATTCTACAGAATGATTCACATGCTTTCCAAGTTACTCTTTCCTCTAAATACTGAGTTTTGCCATTTGCCAGAATGAAAAATATCCTCCTTGTGGGATGCTTCGTACGTGGGCATCTGCTGCTGCGAGAGAAGGAACTGCTGCCGGCCCCACCACTCAAAGTGCGTGCCGAAGCACGGGGAAACAACAGCAGAGGTTTTAAAATAAACCCACTTGTTTCTGACTGCTCAGGTCAGAGACAGCAAGTCTCCCTCTTGCTGATGCTGAGATGGCCCTGCCAGACAGCCCAGGACACGGGGATTATCCCCTGTTGCTGTCCTGAGGCGGGGGTCAGCTCAGGGACTGTCTGGGCTGTGGGGGCTGCGTGGTGTCATGGGCATTGTGGGGGTGTCACAAATAGTGCATGTAAGCTTGTGGCCCCTGTGCTTTGTGCTTTAACCACAAAGCCCATCCTTCCTGCCTCTGTGAGAGTGCTCAGCAGGAACTGCAAAGCACGCCTGTGACGTGTGCTTGTGCTCCTGTGGGCAGCACGCACAGCGAGAGGAGCCATTTTCACAAAACATTTTTGAATTATTTTTTTTTTCAAAGGGAAATATTGTGTATCTTCAGAATTTGCGGTCTGAGTTGTCTTGTTTAAAAGCTTCTGAGGCTACCACCATTAATTCCCTGAAGAACTGTGTTTCCAGATGGCGTCTGCTCCCCAGACCCTTGCACACCCAGCAGGCAGTGGCTTACCAGGGCTTTGGGAAGGAGCCCTTGCCCATGTGTCTAGCTCTGCCTGCCGGTCCCTTGTTTGATGTCCTTGTCCAGAGCTGTAGCGTTGGTTGTCTTTGAAAAGCGTTCTGAGCTCTGCAGAGGAGCAGTGCTGCTGGGTGTTAATATTAACATGGATCAACACTGGTTCCCAAGGGCTTTTGGATGAATATTCAAGAGAAAGTGTTTTGCATTTATTCTTTCAGCTCCAGCAGAATAATTAAAAACAGGATAAACAGTAAGTGCAAATGATGCAATGAACCATCTGATAATGCTCAGGGGGTCACAGGAGAGAAGCCAAGTTGATCTTTTTTAGCATAGTTGTTGATTTGGGGGATTCTGTAACTATAGGCTGATCTTTTATTTTTTTTTTCCTTCCCCTGTTTTTGTAGATGTGGATAAATGTCTTTCCAACCCTTGTCCCGCACTGGCTACCTGCAACAACACCCAAGGTTCCTATGTCTGTCAGTGCCCTCTTGGATATGAGCTGGAAAAAGGAAAGTGCAATTTGGGTAAGCAAACGAAAGTGAAAAAACAAGGGAGAAAAAGATGGAAATAATTACCTGTAATCTTCTAAAATCAATGAGCCTAGGCTCAGACAAGTTCAGAGCTCAATGTACCCCCCAACTACCACTTTTACAAGAGCCTTTAGTGTTTACACAAGTGCAGTGTCCAACGCGTGACCAGACACAGCGATAGGTAAGAGTTTCTCAGCCTGCCCTAAAAACACACCAGCAGAGCGGTGAGCTCAGGCTCGTTAGTAAGGACAGATGTGCCACTTCTGTTTCTAATGTGTTTTACTACCCCAAAGCAGATCAGTGAGCAGGGCTGTTGTACAACCTGACTTCAGTGGGCTCAGCCAGGTGCATAAGATTAGGAGCCGTGAAAGCCTTTGTAAGATCAAGGTTTTGTTTCTTACCTTTCATGTTTTCTGTGCAGCACAGTTATTGTTTGGGCTCAGGTTCTGGCTCCCTCCTTTCTAATAAAGGTCTTGAAGCCCAAGGACTTTCAGAGATCTGTTGCAAAGGGGAATTTGTTTTGCCTGCAGTTTCTTCTGGCCCTTAATCAGCGAGGTTTAAAGGCATGGACATTTTGCTAAGCAGCATGACTGAGGTGTCCCTGAAGGGTGTTTTGAAACCTTTCTTCATGTAGGAATGTGTCAGCTTCTAATTTAGAGAGATGTTTTAGTTGTGCCTTGGACCGGTATATGGGCAGATTATGCAAATACTGTGAAGGTGATTCTAGTCTCATTTTTACCAGGAGTTGTTACATTAGAGCTGTCTGATATAAAATTTGTGGTGAAGATAGACTCCGTGGATGGGAAAAAAAATGGAAAAGAATTGGAAGCTTTATAATGTTATCTGCAACTGTATTTGTTTTTCTGGTGGAACATAAAACTTGAGCTCTGAGTTCTCATTTCCACTGAGTATCTCATGGCACTTAATACAAGATTTAGGGATATTATCTCTCTGAGGCTGAACAACTTGGATTATTGCATTCTGTTGCCATGAATCAACTCTGAATCTAAGCATGGAAAAATGCATCTTTTGGGCCTCCTTTCAAACGTCATTGCTCATTCTGTCCAACAATTTAAAAAGAGAAAATATCCTTTTACAGTGCTTCATTTTGACTTCTCGGTTTGCTTTCCTTCCACTGGAGGGAGGGATAAAAGATTTGATGCATCTGACCTGAATTATTATAAATTAGCTTTGACACCTGAAACCACCTTGCCACAAAATTTCCCCCCCTCTCTCTGTGTTCAGAGGTCCTTTTAAATGAGCCTGTGTTGCTTAAACAGCTTCGATTTATAGAAAGGATGAACATGTTCCAACTCACCTTGTTCTCCTTTTTAGTAAGAATATTCATTGGCCAGGTCCCCCTGAAACCTAACGTGACCCACGGGAAATATGCAGATCTCAAGCAACTGGAGGGTGAAATCCTGGCGATGGTGAGTGTCCGTGCCGGGGTGGTGGTGGTTCTCCTCGTACAGTTAGGACAGGCAGCCACAAGGCTCTCTGGGCTGGGCTGAGCCCTTTTAATTGCTGAACATCCTGGTGTGGTGGGAGCTTCTAAAGCTTCCCAGGCTTCTAAAGGGTGTTAATGCTTCTCTGAGGTCAGACGTTGGAATGGTGACTTTGGGGCTCACAACACCCACTGTAAATCTCCTGTGTGCCTGCTGGCTGTGGTGGCTTGGACTGCAGCTGGTGGCAGCTCGCTCATAGCCAAATCCCATGGGATAAAGGACAGCAGCAGAGCCCAGCCTGAGCATACGGTGCTCTCAGCAGCATTTCCCAGCCGTGCTTTTGCAATCACAGTCGGTTCACAGCAAGATCTGGGTGGGAGGGTGGGTTCCCCATATGCTGTGCCTTCACCTGTTCCAGAAAGACCCCTGGGATTGGGATATATATACATCTCTGTGCATTATTTAGGCAGATTGTTGCATGCAAGAGTTCATCCAGCCATTCCTGGCTGCAGTTCATCCCAGCTCTTTTAGGAGCAGGTGGTTTGGAGATGCAACAAAAGCAGTGGGGTGCTGGGGTGAACCACCTGGGTGCTGCCAGCACTGCTTCTGCTGCAAAGGGAAAACAAATGCCCGTGTTTGGGGGCTGTCCTGGAGTGAGGGGGGCTGCTCGGAGCCGTGCTGCTCTCTCCTCACAGCTACTCTCTCCTTCCTTTCAGCTGGATGCCTCGCTGTCAGGCTTGCCTGGGTACCACCACTCCACAGTCAAAGCCACCAGGTAAGGGGCCATGAGGAAGAGCGACAAACAGCATCAGTTGCCTGTGTATTCAGGGTGGCCAGCTTGAGGTCCTCATTTTGAGTCAGCCCCAGCGGTGCTGTGCTAAATGAAATCAAGCCCAGCAATAACGCAGGGCATGGGCAATGCCTTTGCACCCTGGCCATCTCTCCTGGTACCCCTGTTCGGGACAGCTTGCCAAGCAACAGCCTGAAAAAGCCTGTTGCCCAGGGTGGGTTTGTGGCTGGATTCACAGTGAACAACCAGCACCCCATCCAGCCCCAAATCTGCCTTTCTATGTGCAAGTTTGTCCTGCCTTTAAAGTACGACAGCTGGTCTGCTGCAATGCACAGCTTTCTCAGTCTGTATGTGGTGTTGTGTCTGTGTTAAACATTGCTTGCATTAATAATTAGCAGGTTGTTAATGTACTAACAATGGACTCAGACTGACCCGTGGTACTCAGGGCTGTTTTGTTTTGTTTTCTGTTAGGGAGACAAATTTTGTGCATGTTTCAGTGCAATCCACGTTCTCTTTAGCATCCAACGTGACTTTCTATGACATTGTCGGCAGCGTGCAAAGCTACATTCGGGCTTGCAAATCCCCCACTGATTCCTGCCAGTTCATCTCCAGCTTGAAACCACTCCACAGAGGTAAACAGCATCAGAGAGACTGTGATGGGAGGGTCGGTGAACACGTTTTGCTTGGCTCCTTTTATAAAAGGGGGAGGAAGATTTTGGCATTTAGCAAAACCCCTCTGAAATTTTTAGTCTCATTTCAATGGGAATCATCTTAACATGATGTTTTAAACAGCTCACATGGCTGTGAGTTACAGAGTCAATGGGGTATAAAAGTTGTTCACAATTTAGAGTTTTTAGGCCAAGAATCATTTCTGTTCCAAGTCCCCCACCTGCTGAATGAGCAGAAGGAGAAGCCCACCAGTGCTGGGCAGAACCTTCTCCAGGCTTGGACCTCAGTGGTGCTGCTGCCCCCAAGCCCTGCATCTCCTGATCCTGCCTTCCTGAGGCAGCGAGAGGGGGGATGTAGCAGTGAGTGATCCTGGTGGGATGCCAGGAGTGAGGATGGTCGGTGGCAGCAGCTACTTTGGGTGAGGTGGGAAGCCTCGGCTGGTCAGTTCTGGCAAAGTAAACGTGGAGATGAGAAATCCAATGTGGGATTTCATTTTAACATGGTGTATTTTAAAGCCACACTCTACTGTTGTGGACTGAATCAATTTAAATGACTTCAGTGAAGCAGCTCAAATTATACCCAGTGGTTACCTCAGTTACAGTGCTTCTGGTAAAGTCTACTTCCTCGCTTAAAATAACTAAGAAACAAATTCAGTTCTTGTGTAAGTACTTAAAGTAAAGATGTGAGGTCAAACAATACAATGGTGTGCCCAGCAGGGAGGGGTTTGCAAAAGGGGAGCTTGAGGTGAGTGGCACATACGCCATACGAGTTCCTGCTTCTCATGAAAACGTTTTCATTTGTTGGTTCCATCTATTTTACCTCCCAGTAAAATAGGTCAATTGGTGGCACAATTTCCATTGTTTACCCCCAGTTTTGCTGTATGCTCATTTCAACAAACCTGACTTTTTAGAGTAAAACATCACTTCAAAGTAATGTAAATGAAAGGACAAAATTCATGGTTTAAAAGTGGAAAGAATATGGGGCTTGATACTGAAGTGGAAAAATCTCTTTTGGGCTGAGCAAAATGTTTTGCTAGATATAAACCTAAAAAATGATTTGTTGAACTGTCTCGGGGGGAGGATGTGTTTCAGCTTGAGCCAAAACAAATTCTTCTTTTTAATTTCCCCTCCTGCCTCCAAGCTGAAATATTTATTATTCACCCACTCTCCTTTCCTGTACAAATGACAGTAGATATGCAAGAAATTGTGACGTGTTGTAATGTTGACTGTCTCATAGTGGAACAAATATTGTTTAAAAAAAAAAAAAAGAGAGGTGAAAGCAGTGCATCAGCTGAATGCAGTGCCTGGGGAAAGCAAATGTGCATGGTGGTGTGTTCAGAGAGAAACGTGCTGTTCTTGGCTGTGTCCTCCCAACAGTTGGCAGCTTGTGCAAGCAGAAGGACCCCGAATGTGACAAGGAGACTTCTGAGTGCACCGACTTCGATGGGGTTGCGCTCTGCCAGTGCAAAAGCGGGTACTTCAAATACAACAAGATGGACCATTCCTGCAGAGGTATTGCCCTTTATGCAGCATTCTTGTTTTGGCTTGAATTCTGCTTAACTTTTTTTTTTCCCCCAGCTAAAAAAGTTGTGCATGTGTGTCTGTGCCTTATGCATCACTGTGTGTGCAAGAAGCATGATATTATGAATAAATATTAGCAGCTCAAGTTTCTTTTTGTTAGTTAGGGGACTTTTCAGCAGACATTGGAGATACAGACTCTCTCTAGTAGGAATAATATTATCTCTTTCTGGAGCATGCTGTGAGTCACAACGATGGAGAAGAGGGAGAAGGGGGCCCGATTGCTTTGGGCTTCAGTTCAGTGGCACAGAGCAGAGATGTAGTGCAGCTCTGCCTGTTTTGATTTTGTCTGAACTCTCGGCGAACTTGAGATAATTGCTTTAAACTCACAAGCTTATATCAATACATCATCACTATTTTTTAAATAAGCAACTATCTGAAAATGATTATGAATTTATTTTTCAACGGGGTTCTTAATAGAAATTTTAAGCTTCAGGGTTATATTATTTTTTAGCTACTCCTCAGATCATGAAATTTCTTTTGCTACATCTTAAACAAGGTCTTTGTCCTTGTGCCAGCAGTCAGAGTGACTTTTGTAGGATCAGGACGTCCACTCCCTCCTTGCAGCGATTTTCATAGGTCCTAAAAAGAATTCAGTTTTCTGATTCAGTTTCAGAGTTTTCAGAAATTCAGTTTTCTGATGTTATATCAATAATAATTTCAATAATGGTTATATGTTGTTTCTGGCAGTGTCAGCAGGGTTACTGTTGAAGTAGGAGATGCTTTGTCAGTTCCAAATCTGATCAGTGAGAGAAATGTGTCTGGAAATAATGCATGTGCTGCAGGCTCTGGGCTGGGCCACTCTGAGATGGGCATCCCTGGCTGCTGGGTTGTGGTCCTGCCTCTCCTTTGCGCTGTGGCTCCAGGCAAAACCTTTCTCCTTTGTATTTCTCTCCCATCAACTTGTATTTTGGGGAGGATTTTTATTAGGAAATACTGACTGCCTCCACCTTGACAGGCAGAGAGGGGCTCATGCAGTGAGTGGGGAGCTGAGGTGACTCCTGGGAGGATATTGCCCAACTCTTTCCCCACCACCTGTGGAGGGAGCCATCCATTTGTTTTGGACGTGACCCGTGCCAAATAGTTGTGTAAAGATAAATACCTAAAAGGCTGCAAGGCACTTGGATGTGATGGTTATGGAGTGCTATGTGATGGAACGTCTTGTAGGGAGGGAGATGTGATCAGTCCCTACCCACTTGTCTTATTTGCTGTGCAAAATATGAAAGACCAAGCCCCACACTGTGAGGTTTCGATTTCCCATCTTCAGCTCTCTGCTGGCACTAGGAAACATCTTACTGACCAGCTTGGGAGTGCCTGGGGGACAGGGATGGTGAGGGGTTGAGGCCAGGTGATCCTGGGGATGGTGGTGAGGGGTTGCTGCCAAGCTCACGGTGCGGTGCTCCAGCGATGTACCAGGCTGTCGGCATCACTGTCCCCACTGAGTAAGCCAGACCATCACATTTTTTAAAGTCTTTTTCAAATACCATGCTATGGCCCTTATTTGAAATTTAGGGCTATTCTCTCCCATTAATACAGCAAGTGATATGCCAGGCGCTTTTAAAATCCTTGCCCTCTTAGTGACTAAACAGGAATTGCGGTCTCCCGAGCATCTGAACCCCATTGTGGATCGTGCAGACGTGGAGTGCTAACTCCCATTATGTCCTTGCAAAGAGGGAAACAGCCATTGTGCTGCCCCATCTGGCCTCCCCGTGGGAGGTTTGGGTTTGTTCTTCTCTGCCTGGCTCTGTCTGTCACCTGGGGCACACCTGGAAAGTGTCCCCTGGAGCTGGGAAGGGTCCCTCTGAGCCAGGACATTTGATGTTTGGGCTGAGGTACCATGCGGTGTGCATTCAGTCATCTCGGGGTTCTTGCTGGTTTCAACCTTCCTGGTGTCTTCAGAGCTGCTGTAGAAAGAGGTCAACAGCCCCACTGTGCCAGCTTTTCTGAGGCATGCAACTTGGGAGAAAAAGGGAGAGTGAGGAGAGGCAAGGACATAAACTCTGAGCATTGAAGCTCTGCATTGCTCTAAGTAAAGTAAGACACCAAGACACACCTTCAGGACCTTGCTTTTCCTCTTTCCAGCCCACGTGGAGCTCCCGGGCTGGCAGCTGTGTGCCAGTGGGTCCCCAGGGCTGCCCCTGCCCAAGGGGGGCTGCGGTGCTGAGGCTGCTCGGGATGCATATGCCTGCATGGCTGGGTACAGCTTCTGCACCTCTTGGATGTAGCAAACAGCATTTCCACATGACCACAAGCATCTGAGACAAGAGTGCCAGGCATGCTGCAGGTCACACCTCCTGAAAAGCCGGGACTGGGACAGAGCTGCAGAGGGGGCCTGGCAAGCAAAGAGGAGTCCCAAGCTCTGGCTCAGGATAATGCCATTCCTGGTGCATTTAGGGGCATGGGCAGGCAGAAGAAGGGAGGTTTTGTTATCCCTGTGCTTGCAACATCCAATTCTGGGAACCAGAACTCAAAAGGGTCAGAGAGAAAATGGGAGTGTTCAGAGCAAAGCTGCAAGAGCCAGGGAAGCTCAAAAATCTCGGAGCACTTGGCTTTACAAGAGGCAAAGGAGTGATCTGATGGCGAGGGGAAGAAATGGGATAATATAACCTTTTCCAGCCTACCGAGAAAACATCCAAAGACTGGAATTTGACACAGGGATAATGCAGAACAGAAAGAAGGTGAATGTTTTTTGTGGCTGGGGAAATTAACTTTATGAGCATCTGACCCAGGGTTGTGGTTGATTGTCCGTTGCTGGAAATATTAAAATCAGGCTTGGATGGTTCTGTAAAATGTAGTTCCAGTTCAACTATTTGATTTGAAACTGGAACTGAATTTAGGGAAGTTCTGTGACCTGCATTATGAGAGAGAGGTCATGGTCACATTGCTCCCAGCTGGCACTGACACCCCTTGTTATTGGTGCTGTGAGAGCCATAAATAAACTTTTGGTCCAGCTAGAAAACTAGGGGTCCCTCTTGGTGTATTATGGTATTGCCAGCCCATCATAATAAGCTGCACATTTGCCCTTCTTTCCTCCTCCCTCCCCTCCTGTGCTAGGTGCTTCTGAAAACATGTGGGCTCCAGCTGTGCGGGGGGAATGGCATCTCCCGTGCTGTGCTGGGGAGGAGGCGAGCACTTGGCCACACTCCTGCAGCTCTGCGGGGCAGCCCCCTGCACCCCGAGGGATTTCCCTGAGCTTGGTGGGGTTTAGTGAGCTTCCATGCTTGCAGCCGCACCTTATCCCTGCGGCTAGAGGTCAAGGCAGAGGGAGGAGGGCTCGAGAGCTGCTGCATTGCTGTTTTTAAGCATATGGTGTCAGGAAAACAATCCATGAGCAATGCCTACTGAGGGACTAGTGCATGAAAAAGTGCTGGTCTAGGCAGTAACCCAAAACTTGTAGTTGTGTGCCCAGTGGGTCACCACCTTTGCTGTTCATCAGAAGCATAATACAATTTTCTCAGGTCATTCAGATGCTGAGAGAGCTGTCCATTAAGCACAGCAATATGGCTTCAGGGTTGTTTTTTAACCAACATTTTATACGTAGCAGTTTCTGGGTTATGTATACCTACTCCAAAATTTAGTTTATATTCAATACAACTATACTATCGTAAAATATGACATTTCAAACTTTGATTTAGCTCCAGCTTTAAGAGAAAAAAAAAGTGGCATTTTTAATGAGGTAAAACATAACTTCTCACTTTGGGTTAACCGCAGCTCTGTTTGGATAACATTTTCTGGCAGTATTAACATTTAAAAACAATGAATAACGTGCATCATTGCTAAAGTAGCACAACTTAAGTGAGGTTTCAAAATGAAAGCTGGTGACACTTGCAGATTTTGTACTCTGATATTTTGTGGGAACAATACAAGCGTGCGGTGAGTTTCCATTTGGCCAAGGAGGGATTGCGTCAGGAATTGTTTTACCAGCTGCCCACCCTGTGGCAGGTTCCAGGTTAGCTCTTGGGAAACTGAAACGGCCCTGTCAAAGCCAGTGGGAGGTGAGTTTAAGTTCACAGCCTTTTGCTTAGAACAGAGGAGACGGAGCGGGAGGTGGTCCTGCTGCTGTTGGTCCCGAGGCTGGCTGGGGAGCAGCTGCTGAGGGAGGCGGCGATGCTGAATGCCTCCTGTGCACCACTGTGGGGTGCTCATGGCCCTTCTCTCTTGTCTGCTTGTAGCCTGTGAAGATGGATATAAGCTGGAAAACGAGACCTGTGTGAGGTATGGTGACTGCTCTGCCCTCTCCTACCCCACCATCCTTCTTAATCCTGCTTTCGTGACCTGTTGGCATAGCCAAGCTACTGAAACTCCCTCTTGTTTTCTGTTATCAGCTGCCCCTTTGGCTTAGGCGGGTTCAACTGTGGAAACCGTAAGTACAGAGTTTCGTTTCGTTTCATTCGTTTTGTTTCGTTTCATTTCATTTCACTTCATTTCATTCCCACTGTGTCAGAAGTGGGAAATTTTCAAGAAGTAATTGCAAATAACTGTGTCTAAAACTCAGTAGGTGTAGACTACTCTCATCAGGGTTTTCTGTTTCCTCAATGTCTGTCAAAAATTTATTTTGTCTACCAAAATATTTCTTTGACAGAAATTATTTCTGTGACAGAGTTGAGTTAATATTATCTGCTAACAAGATCAGTATTTTCCTTGGAGATCTTTCTCTGGATACTCTGTCATGACAGCACAGATAGCATGCACTCTTGGAGCAAGATATTTGGAGGTGAATCAATGAAAGATCAATTGAGTTACTGAGATTTATCAGTAAGGGGAATCATTCCCCTCAGCACACAGGAGCTTCTCTTTTCCTCAGCTAGAGATCCCCAGCTCCATCTATTTCACTTGAAAAAATGCAGTAATATTGTTTATAGAAGGAGGGAAGGCAGGAAGCAAACAGTTAATCCCCTTGTGTGAGGACTGTGGAGATGTTTACATGAATACTTATGACCGCATTGCTGTCTCTAAGTGAGAATATGTCTTTCTTGTCCCTAGCATACCAGCTCATCACTGTGGTGATTGCGGCTGCAGGAGGGGGACTTCTGCTTATCATGGGCATAGCGCTGATTGTCACCTGCTGTCGGTAGGTACCACTGCCAGCCCCACTTACACCGTACCTAGCACTCCGTGTAGGAGCCCTGAAGGATACAAAAAACACAGCTAAGCAAGCAGAGGTATTTAAGTATTACCTTGTGCTTTCATTTGGGACATGCCTCTTTTTTTTTTTTTCCAGCAGTCAGGTTAATAAATTCAACTCAGTGTCTCTTAATTGCCTGGCAATTGTGTCCTGTATGGATGGAGAGGCAAAGGAGTCCTTCCCCCTCAGAGCCACAGGGCACCAGGCAGTAGCCTCCAAAAATGCAAGCTAAGTAGAAGAGAAAAGTTTAGGCAACAGGAAGGGCTTCTGGGACACCAAGAGGTGTGGGAATGCGTTCTACGCCCTTTTCCTCCAAGCACAAGCCCTGCACGTGCTCTCACTGTGTCTTTCCCTCTCAGACACACATATGTGCACATGTAGTTCCCATACCAGCAGATAGCTTCGGAGTAGAGGCAAGATGTGCTGCTGAGGTAGCTGTGCTTCATGATTTACATACCATGAGACAGGGCTGCCTTGCAGTAACACCCTCTGCCCCCCATTCCAGCCCCCAAATCTGGGATTTCAAAGCTCTCTGACAAAAGTCAGCAGCTGGATTTCTCAGTAGCAGCAAGGTCCAGCTGGGAGGTGAGATGGTCGCTCCAGGTCCCTGTCTGCGGGGACAGACCAGTCTTCTCATCAGTCCTGGCCTTTTGCAGGCTACGTGCTTTCCTGGAGGGTATTCTGCTCTGGACTGGGACTGTCACCAAAATCCGCTCCTACAACATGGCAGTGATGTAGGGGTATTTGGTGGTGTTCAGACTGGCAGCTTGCCAGCCTTTCTTCTCAGGAATTAAGGTGGTGCCTGGAAGTGCTACAGTTAAGCATTTGGAGACTTGAATAGCGTGGGGGCTTCCATGCATTTTTCATTCTTCCTAGGCTTTTTCACTGACTCTAGTGAACATGCACATTTTCAAGAGACAAGGGGCATACATTGAAACAGGAGAGGTTTGAACTGAATATAAGGAAAAACTCTTTCACCAAGAGGACAGCAAGGCAGTGGAACAAGCTGCTCAGAGATGTTATGCCATCTCTGTCCTCAGAGATTTCAAATCCCACCAGACAGTGCTCTGTATGGCACGATCATATGGCTCCTATCTGTGCCTTGGAGCAGGAGGTGGACTGTAGCCCTTCTGGGGTCTCACCTGGTTATCTTCGTTCCCGGTGAAAGTTTGCAACATGTGGTAAGTCTCCTGAGATCATGTCAGAAATGCACATAATATATGAGGATAAGTTACATCTTTTTCGCTTTCCTTCATTCTTTTCTAAACAGAAAGAATAAAAATGACATAAGTAAACTCATTTTCAAGAGTGGGGATTTCCAGATGTCACCATATGCTGAATATCCAAAGAACCCCCGAGCACAAGAGTGGGGCAGAGAGACCATCGAGATGCAGGAGAACGGAAGCACCAAGAACCTATTGCAGATGACAGATGTGTATTACTCGGTATCTATCCATAGCTTAACTATTAACCCTTTGTACCTGATACAGCAAAGATGCATTCCTTTATTTTGGGAATCACAGATCCCTTTCCTGCAAAACAAAAAAGCTAAGCAAATGGCTTCCATAGACAGCAAGGCACTGGCAGTTCGGTGGACTCCAGCTATTACTTGTGTGTTGAATACCACAAGGAGCTGTCATTAGGAAGAGTGCTAGGGAAACGTCTAGGAACATTTTGGTAGATGCCTAAAAAGCCCTATCGTAGAGTAGAGAAGGAGAGTTGAAGGTTTGGGGCAGTCTTGTAGGAATCTCTGTGGGCAGTTTTCTCCCTTTCACTCTCACTGATGATGCTGGAAGGTTGAGACCTCTCCCTGGGGGTTCTTCACCTCCAAATGGGATGATGATGGTCACTGAGGACCCCTCTTTTCTTCCACTCCTCCCCTCTCCAAGGTATAGGCCCCTTTCTGAAGCCAGAAGGATGCATAAGAAGCATCCCTCCAGCTCTGTGAGAACAAGCATCAGGAAGGAGGTGGTGAAGGAGTAATGGACTGTGTAGGGCAGAGGAAGGGTCACAATATCTGTCGTAATGGACACTGTAATATCTGCATGGTTGGTACCAGCTGCTAATGTCTATATCCAGAGCTGTTGTGTTGGTATATCATTTTTCACTATCCCACATCAATATACTGGATGCACTCAAGATCTGTGTGGGGTTACTCACGTTGGTGAAGGTTGCAGGATTTCATCCAAATCACACTTTGTAGACTCCTGCTTTCCAGAGAAGAGAGCGGTGGGCAATACTTTTTTCTTTTTTTTTTTTTTTTTCTGGCTTGTATTTTACGTTTTCCCAAAGCAATTTTACTGGGTTACACAGCATCACAGCATGAAGGGAAATGAGAAAAAAAAGTCCTTTCAGATAATACTGAGAAGGAAACAAACTTGGCTTTTCTACAAACGTTTCCTTTAAAGGTGACTCTGGGACAATATCCTGAATTCAGGAGTGTTATTTCAGTGCCCAAGATCATCAGCACAATTCACTTGGATTAAAAATTAACTGTGTACTTAGACTGCACTTGGAGTCGGGTAAACTTCAGCCAGGTAAACTTCAAGTCTTCTAATTGGCAAGACATCAAAACTCAGTTGCGTGAGAATACTGCCCTCCAGAAAATGCATAACTCTCACAGTGAAAATCATTCTAACTTATAGAGATAACTAGTGATCATATTATTATTCCTTGTAGCTACTGAAATAACTGCTGGGAAAGGTGGTAAGGATGTGTTGGAAAGAGGATTTGACTATAAGAATAAGACCCTTTTAAAATGTTATTTTTTTATTTTTGCTAATACAGCCAACTGGACTGAGAAATCCTGAACTGGAAAGGAATGGACTTTATCCTCCCTACACTGGTTTGCCTGGATCTCGACATTCATGCATCTATCCTGGACAATACAATCCATCCTTCATTAGTGATGAAACCAGAAGAAGAGACTATTTTTAGCAGGACAGAGAGGGAGTGGAAGACTGACGCAAATTGGCCCTTGATCCCCAGGTACAACGTGTCTCCTGGCAGTTCAGCCCACACCAATCTTACTCTTCCCATATAACAGGATGATCTTTGAACTCCATGCCAAGCATTGCTGCCCTGAGGAATGGTTACACTTGCTGAGCAGCAGCGAGGAAGAGGAGGAGGAGGGAATGGCTCAATGTGCACATCAGTAAAAGACCCAAGTGGAAGCTCACGCGTGTACTCCGGTTTTGTTCTGTGCTGTTTCTTCACCCTTCACGCTACACGGCAAGCATCGATAAGTACAGGCAGATGAACTGTTCCCAGCACCCAGTGAATACCACTAGGGAGTGTTTTGTTTACAGATCTTGTTCACTGTTGACTGTGCTTGTCTTCTTGGCTAACCTTCATGCAAAGATTCACCATGTGACTGGTTTTGGTAGGGCAAGTTTGTCCACCCCCATTTTCCCTTGCTGCATTGCTTTTTGCATCGTATGTGACAGAAAATTGACTTGTCCTCTGGCCTTGATCTCCATACTGGTAGAAGTTCTCCAAATGGCCTGGGCCCTTACTGAAGGCTGGTGCTTGGCAGTGTTGGCTGAATTCGTGGGTTGATTGTCTCCAAGGAGTAGGGGAAAGTTAGTCATACCACTGCAGTTCAAACTGAAAACAGGCACAGTTGATTGTGTAGCTCTGAAAACTTACATATATAGGGAAGAGTTGGTGTATGTTGTCGTTCTGTCAGCCAGTGTGGTTCAGAAGTGGTGACACTACACATCATCACAGTGCTTCTGTGTAGGACCTTTTGAGGCTGTTTATTTGCAGGGATTTAAAGGCTTATAAAAACAGCTATGAAATGTAAAATTTTATCACTTCGTTGCTCATAAGGAAGAAAAACATGATCTGGGAATTCACCGTGCCTCTTATGTGGAACTCAAGGAAGGAGCAGTAAGGCTGTGTCTCTGGCTGGGTAGGCGGCACGTGAGTTCTGGGCAATGTGGGTGGGACGTAGTTTTCAGCCCTCCACAGCCACCTTGACTTCAGGAGGAGCTATATCAAAATAGGTCGATTTCTTCTGTCCTAGTTTCGAGTGATTCAAACCAGGCAGGTTTCCCCATCTGGGCGTAAATTCATATCAAGCACCTTGGCAAAAGCAGAAGAATGTAAGTTATTACATTCCTCACCAAAGATCAGATCAAAAGTTTATTGACTTTTTTTTCTTTACAGAGCAGGGTGTCAGAAGAGATCTTATTACTGATGTATATTTCCCACTTATCTTTACCACAGAGATCTAAACCTAAATCATCGCAACCGCAGTGCCTCTGTATGCCTCACCCCTTACCCACTACCAATAACAGCCGTGTGATCTTGCAGAAAAACAGATCTTTCGGATGCCTGGGGCAGCATGCTGTGCACTGACGTCATTTTATGGTGACAATGCATGTGACTTAATCCACAATCAAACTTGCAGGTGGTAGTACACTGCTTATCTCACATGTAGGCAGGGAATGGATGCTTATGCTGCCAAAGGAACTACATTTAAGGAACACTCCAGTTGCAGTATCCAAAATAATGTAACAAGTAAAACAAAAATTAACCGTTCCCAGTGGTTTTGGTCTGCGAATGACGCTCTTCTCCTTGTCACTAGCAGCCAACATCTTAATTTCACAGGGTCCACTGGATGATGTGAAGCAAGGGCTTGGCCCTGCTGTGCTCTGAGGTCCTTCAGAGGGTGTTGGTAGGGGTTGTTCTTGCAGGGGTGAGTAACGCCAACTCTAGTTTTGAGCATGCCTAGGATGGATGGGACTGCCTCTCCCATGGTATGGAGGAGGGTTTTGTCCCTATTACGGATGAAAATGGGGAAGCTGGGACTTTGTGCTGGATCTAAATCCAAAGTGTATAGATGAGCACTGGAATCTGTCTCTGTCTACTAAAGAAGCTTATCAAAAACTAAGCAGCATGTCTCAGCAGTGATGGTAGGATTTAACTGCATGCCAGCATTTCCTCAGACAGGAAAGGGTTTAGGTATTTACTTATACAAGGTATGTTTAATCACTTGTTTAGTTTGAAGGCTGTGAAATGTTCCTTTGTGTGACAGGTGCCAAGACAAAGTATGAAATACCAGCTCACAAATGCAGATTAATCCTTCTGTATAAAGTGTAACATATGGGTTATATGAGCAAAACTCCTGGTCTGTATCATCTCGCAGCAATTTGCAAATTGTCAGTGTCTCGGTAAACCCAGCAGGGTTTTCTAGGTGAGGACTGCAAAACCTGGCTCTTTTCCAAAAGAACAAACTTTGTTGCAGTGGAGTTTTGTCTCTGCCAGAACAGGTAAATGTTGGGGAAATTATTATGAAATTAACCCGTTGCAGCTTCCTTTTAGTTTTGGTGAGAAAAAAGTCAGTGCTTATCCCACAGGAAAATGAAAGGGGTCTCTGCTGACCTGCCCCTGCCAAGACCTTTATTGGTGTTCCAGGAGGGGAAGGAAGAGGAGAGGATCTGGGGAGGTGACAGCCCCGAGGTCAGTGCAGGTGCTTACCCGCGTGGGGACCCAGGAAGTGTCAGCCAGCGCTGCCGCTCCCTGCGCTCCCCTCTGTCTGCACCCAAACCCCACCGGCTCCACAAAGGCAGAGAGGATGGGTGGAGTGCAGCGTGTTTTGCCATGGTTTGACAGTAGCTTTACTGCAATTAATTGGCAATAAATTACTACTGCGTCCCAGTAGCAATGGGATCTCCCAGCTGCGGCAAGGATGTGACTTGTTTCCGTGCAGTGTGCCTCTGCTGAAACTGCCACCGGGATCCTCTCCATCTGCTTGTCTAGTTGCCATCAACTAAGCACCCTTGGTAGTGGTTTTAGGTTTTGTTGATCCTGCTGGATATAAGTCAGGTCTCCATGCGCCCTATCAGTCCCTCAAGTCCACCTTTGAATATGGATAACTCTCCTAGGGTGCCTAAGTAAGTGCAGCTTGTTTCTCAGGCTATTTAGATTGCTTTTAGCTACCCCAAATTGCAAATTTGGAGCACACTGGATGCTTTTGCCAAGGATAATTGCTTTCAACTATCCAAAAGGATAAGATGGAAATGGCACGTTTCTTGTAAGAAGACTGCAAGTGGCTCAGACAGATGTGGGGAAAGGAAGTAAAGCCACACCAATACTGCATGGAAATCTGCTCGTACTCCTGGCTGATGTGTCCAGCTGAGCTGTCAGCAAGGGGCCACGGGCAGGTGTGTGGGAGTAGTTTTGATCAGCTTTGGGGGGAAAAAAAGCTAATTCTGTTGCTTGAAAGAGAAGGATGTAGGAGGCATATGTTTGCTGCTATAGTGCTCTGACAACTGTGTTGACAAAAGCCCCTTGCCTAGAGAAATACCCCTGGCAGTCAGCCTAGGAGAGGCAGTCAGAATGAACAGAGCAGTGAGAGGCAGGCTGGAGGGGTCATTGGAAAGGGATGCAGCAGCCTCCCTGTGTCCCTGTCCTGCACTGCTGCTCATCCTGGCTGACCCTCCCATGCTGCACTGGGAAAGCAGAGGGCTTTTGCACACTGTTGAAACCTTGAAGCACTGAATTTAACTGGCATAAGGAGTACAGGGAACAGGGATAGTTTGATGCCTTTTGCCCTCCACATATTTATATCCTTTATAGTTTAAGCAAAAGACTGGCAATTAATCTCATTGCTTTTTCAGCATGTCCCATAAAGTTCCTCTGTCACAGTCATATACAGAGACACTGCCTGTGACCTGCCTTCTAAAAATGATTTGTTTCCACAACGAGCAATAGGGAAAAAAAAAATCTAAAAATAGCAATAAATTGTATTTACTGAGAGGTGTTTGTGACTGCAAAATTGTGCCAACACTTGTAAAGGTTGTTCAGCAGGGCCTGAGAGAGCAGCAGAGTGGTTTTGGACACTGCTGCAGCCATGTGAAGTGCTTCCCTGGGACATGTTCCTAATGCTGGTCAATGGCTATATCCGTTCCAAATCCATCTGGACTTCTCATTCCCTCATAGTGATGTTTAATCTTTAATTTTCTTCCTTAAATTAACAAGAACGGATGCATTTTACTTAAATGTTCTTCCTATGCTGACTATTGTTTTTTTCCTCTTTACACACAAAGGATCCAAGCCAGCATCCACTCTAGTGGGCTGGGATAACTCTCTCACGGATTTTAATGAAGTTTTTTTAGGCCTGAATCATTCCACTGTCAGGGTCACTTGTGTGTACAAAATGCATTCCTTCAGCTCTGTTTTCTGCCCATTTCTGTGACATTGTTGCTGCCTTTTCATGTCGTATTTATTTTTTGGATATATCCTTATTACTGTAGCAGAACCTGTATTATGTGAGATTGAACAGGTTGTTCAAGATTTGTAACACCTTTCTGAGAAGAGGATGAATGTGAATTTTGTAAAGTGTTTTTGTTTTTTGTTTTTTAACTGATCAGCCAACCTGTTTCCCATTGTGTGAGATTGTCTAGGGATGTAGAGATGCTTCATGCATTCACAGATAAGAACTACCCATCAGTTCACGTACTTGTGCCTTCAGAAATGAAACAAGATCTCCCAGTTTTGAAAGGGGTAAGCACTGTGTTCTTGTAAGTTCTGGGAGCCTTTTAATGTGTATTTAATTCTTCGTTCCTTTGAACTGTTGGAATTGAAAAGCAGGACAGAAATCCGTAAAGAGGTAAAAAAAAAAAAAAAAAAAAGGAAAAAAAAAGGAAATTTAGGAAAAAAAGAGAAAGAAATGAAGAAAAGAAACATACTTCCTTGTTTTGCAGAAGTAAACATCGAAATTAAGTGTAACACTGTGGCTTCTGTACTGTAAGGTTATGTTTGGGATGACACGTTTCTTCTGTGTGTGGTTTGTGTTGTGTATGAGTAATATGGAAAACCTAAAGCAGGTGCCTAATGTTCCTCAAAAGTCACATGTAAATGCTAAGTCCCCTGGTCTTCATTCTGGTAAGATGCTCAAAGGGATGGGAGTCTTGCTTGGGTAATTGCTGGAGCAGGTGGCCCACAAGTCTGTAAAATCCGATATGGAAGAGTCCTGGGGAATCCAGTAAGAAGTGATCAGTTCTCTTGAGCAGTGCCACAGAATTTGCCTGACATAAAACGTCTGTTATAAAAGCCATTAGGGTGGTTAACTTTAAAGAAAAAAAAAAGACATTAAATATTTAATTCTTTCATTAAAAAAGAAAAAGGAAATTCTGTTAAACTGAGTCATTTGTTTTGAGCCCTCTTAAATTCTGCAAGACTTTCTCCTAGCAGAAGGCAAAATCTTATATGTAAAGTCATGATAGTTTCTTTGAGCAGCTTTCAGAACTGCAGTTGCAATACCTTTAGTGAAGTCTGTTTCAAAAGGTAAATTTTAAGCATTTGTTTGTGCTTCCTCTACCAACCTGAATGTAAACCTGTGTTATGTTCTTCACATTGTCCTGCTTCCCTCCCTGTAGCTCTGATTGTTCGCTTCCAAGTTGCTGGGGTTCTAAAGACGTTTTCCAAACCAGTATTATTTAAAGTTGTATCATATTTTCAGCCTTCACTAATTATACAGTACTGTAGTAGCAAAATATAATTTTTAAGGATTGGACTATTTTTATACCTGCATCCAATATTGTTAAATCTGGCGTTCTAGTCAGTATTATAAAAGGATACAATAAAACTATGAATATTAGTTTGTCTCAGCTTTTTTTATTGTCTAAAGCTTTCCCTGTAAAGAGATGCATATCTGACTTTTAAATTGTTTTAACAATAATTAGAAGAAATTTTATAGTACTTCTGTTCTTCTAGTGTTGTTTAGTGATTGAATAACTTAAGTGTAAAGCAAAGAAGAAAGGAGTATGTTCTGTTATGCTAAACAAGCTTTTGCTCAGCCTAAATGCAAGTTCTTTATCTTTATTTCAGTAATATTAATCAACTCAAAGTTTAATTTAAAAATTTTCCTCAATTTAATTTTTCATCCATCTGGAAATACTAGAATTGGTGAAACTGTGTATGTGCATGCTGGAGGGAAGGAAAATGTTGGCAGAGGTAGGTGCACAAGGGCTCTTTGCAAGGGCAGGAGACTTGACCACAGTGAGGTCAGTCCCACATCTCTAATTGCCACTACAGACTATGAAGACTCTGCAGCTGAGCCTCTCTCAGAGGAGGAAGGCTGATCCCTTGAATCCAGATGAACACAGTGTCCAGGGGAGAGGCATGATGTGGACAAAAATTTTTTAGGCTTCATTCTGCTCCCTGTCTCTGCCTTCCAGCTCAGCAGGCTGGTTATTCCAAGAACAATTAGTCTTACTAATTAAGACTAAGGCAAATAAGTCATTAAGTACTTCAGCCTTTTCCTCATCTCTCATCACCGTGTTTTCTCCCTGCATCCAGTAAAGGATGGAGATTCTCCTTTGTCCTCCTTTTATTGTTTATGTATTTATAAAAACATTTGTATTGTCTTTTACTGTAATGCCTGGGTTAAATTCCACCTGGTCTTTGGCCCTTCTAATTTTCTCCATGAATCATCTCACAACATCTCTGTAGTCCTCCTGAATTTCCTGCCCCTTCTTCTGAAGATCACAAACTCTATTTTCTTTCCTAAGGTCCAGAAGAAGCTCTCTGTTCATCCCTGATGTCTCATCTTTTGAGACATAGGTATGGCCTGCTCCTGTGCCTTCAAGATTTCATTCTTTTAAAATGTCCAGACTTTGCTGGACTCTTGCCTTTTAGAACTGCCTCTCAAAGAATTTTGTCAACCAGGTTCCCATCTTGGAAACTACCCAAGAAAAGATGGTGAGCTGCATATACTTTCCCTGATCATGGGTGAATCTGTATGTATATCATTTTGATTTAGACTTCCTGCAGGTTTGTTTGAACCTTTAGGTAATTGCAACATATATTCTACATGTGTGTAATACATAGTGGAAGAACTAAATTTACATGAGATAGCAAAATATATAGGAATTTAGTGAGGAATAGAACTGAAAATTGCACAGGATAAAAGTACCCAGCTGACGCATGTGAAGAGCTATAAAAGACACTTTAATGTACATCTTACAGCATGATTGCCCCTTGCTTACATTCAATTTATGGTTATGTAACTGGGCCATGCGTGACTATACAGTTTATAATAGGTACAGAAGACCTTTTACCTTTGATAACATTTTTTTTCTGATGTAAGCAAGGATAAAGACAATGAACAACTAATGTTTGTTGCTAACTATAGCACACTTTTTATAACAATCATTGGTCAATGTTCTTGCCTGCCATAACTGAACTTCAATGCATATCAGCTTGGTCTTACACCTTCTGGTAAGTAATTCAGAAATCACTGCAAAGAAAGACTTGTCTGTGAGTCTTTTCAGGATATCATAACTGCTGTGGCTGTGCAAGCCTGTCTGCACTAACAGTCAACTACTTATTATCTAAATGTGTGCTTAATAATTTCATTAATAATACCATTAGAGGTACTGATGTTTCACTGATACTGGTTTTCCTCTTTTGATAATTCTCTGTGTCTGGGCTCCTAAACTATCAAATCTCTTAAGTCCCTCCAGAGATTTGCAAGCAAGGAGGTTCGTAGAGCCTCATTGCCCCATCTCTCACTGAGAGAGTCTGTTGTGACCACTGGTTTGTCACAAGCAGAGACAAGAGGATCTGATATGTCTACATGTGTTTGCTCAGTGTTTGCTTCCTGGAGGAACTGGTGCCTTTTGCACAGTGAATGTGTCACACTTCCCAGAGGTGACAGCAGCAACCAAGTAAGAACGGAAGTTAACTCTAATGACATGGATTAGGGTATGCCAGCTTCTGTTGTGTACTTGTTGTAGAAAACAGTCTTAATGAACAGGACAATACATTCAGCCAGCTGACGGTGGTGTAGCCAGCTCTCAGCCACTATCATCTACACCTGCTGAAGGCTCAACCCACATTTTTAATAGCACTCTGGGAAGGTCCCTTTTTCCTACACCTTCAATTCACAACTAACAATAAGATTTTAAAACATGGATTGGTCCAATTACCCCTTAAAGTGGCATTGGGAAACGGGGATGTGTCACGATGACTCAGGAATCCAGATGGGAATGGAAAACAGTCAGAAGACTGGTGGCATTCAGCTCTCCTGAATACCCATCACAACCAGGTTTGTCTCTCTTTGCATAGAGATTCCCAGCTGAAATATGGGCTGCAACTCCCCAAACAAGTGTTTTTTAGAGGCATTGAGCTTCCCTGGGGGCTCACAGCAGTCAGGGATGATGGAAATGCTCCGCCCTGACAAGAGTCTGGGGTTAGTGTAGGCGTCCCCTGCCATCTGCAAAGCAGAGCTTTAAGATGGGTGGTAACCTTATGTTTGTACAAAATACTTCTCATGCATGTCTTCCTCTTTCTCTGTCAGCTTTGTAGGAAGAGGGGATTTAAGAAGGGGTCTGGAGGACACGGACAGGTTGGGAAGTGGGCATCAGAGTGAGTGGCAGAGGGGCAGCAGGGTGGCAGGACAGCCGTGCTGAGCATGAGGTGAGGGGTGTTGTGAGGGCCCTGAGCAGGGCTGGGCCTGCTCCTCAGGGGCACCCTGAGCCCTGGCCATTCCACACATCCCTGGGACTTGGGCAACAAAGGGTTCCTGGTAGTGCCGAGCCCTGCAGCCAGGGCCTGTCCCACCACCTCAGGAGCACTGGGGGCAGCCCCCACGACTGGGTTCCGAGCCCTGTCGTGGCCCCTCTGACAGGGCACAGAGGAACAAGATCGGTCACTCCCTGCAGAATCAGAGAGGCACTCAACCAAATTTGCTATCTGCAAGCCACTGATATTTCCTGGTTCAGCAAAAGTTAAAAGTTGAAGACATCTCCATGCTTGCAAACAACTTGAGTAATACTTCTGATGCTGTCTGCCCTCTTGCATACAAAGAGAGCCACCCTCTGAATATATTAGATTAGTACACGAGACTGCATGTCTTGTTAGCACAGCAGATCAAACAAAAGCAGGTGAAGGACGGGGAGAAGCCTTCCACATGCAAAGCTATCATTTTGCATTTGGAAATTGTTCACAACCTGCTAATGTTGCTGGCTGGGGTGCTTACCAGAGGAGAGCAACTCCACAGATTCCTGAGGTGGCTTTGCAGGGGGAAACACCAACGGGTTGCTCACCCTTTTTGTCTATGGCTGAGAATGACAGGATAGCCTGTGCTTATTTCTCAGAAGGGCTTTACTGGTAGCTGTGGCAGGATCCGGGGTCAGCCGTACCTTCAAAGCAAGAGAAATGGCACCTTTGCTTGAAAAGGAGGAACTGGAAACCATCATGGGATGTCTGCTGATCTGAAAAAGTGCATTTTACTAGCGCATAAACTAGAATAAATGCACTATTCAGCTAGAGAGCTTGGGTAGGTGAGGCAGGTGAGAAAAAGAGGGTTTGGGAGAAACAGATCCTGTGCAGAGGCCTTTTTTCCCATCTTGGTCTCTACGTAGAAATTTTCAGAGGCTTCCTGAGATGCAGTTTCAAAAAGTCTCTCTATCCCACAAGTTTTCCTTGTGGCATGGCTGTGTTACTTACTCCATGGCACTCTGCACTATTTCCCATTTCCGGATCTGCTGCAGGTTCCCACGTAGGCAAACAGAACAGCAATAATCATTGCCACAATGACCAAGGAGAATTTGGTTTCTTTAGCAGTCCAAGATGCAGGTATTTTCTGTTACTTTTTACCCTGCTGAGCAATAAGAAGTGCTTTGGTGTAAACTTTTGCTTTTAAGGACAGAGAAGTTGGGGGTCTGAGGCATAGAGCTCATCTATTCTGGTAATTTATTGCAAAGGGTGTGTGTGTATGTCCCAAGTACTCTAACTGCATCCTTATCATGCTTTGGTATAAGATAGCTTCTTCCACTTTAAGAACAGACGATACTGCAACCTCCACTTAACTTGCACTGAAAGCGTCTGTACATAGAGCTGGCAGGGGCGAGCTAGTGTCCTGTCAGTTCACAGGTCAAATTATTTAGCGATAACTTCCTTGTGTCAACAGGTCTCAAGTGTTTATGGCTTACAGGAAGAATATTGCAGATCCAGAAATCCTCCTCCCAGACAGAGGAGGAAGAGAAAAAACAGCTTGGATCTGTCATTTGCCACTTGCCACCATGACGTCAGCTCAGGGCTGAACTCTACCTGTGGCTGAGACCTTAAATGAGCTGCCGCTAGAAGAGAAAAGCACTTTCTCTCAAGTTTAACGGCGAGTAGCAGCGGCAACAGAAGCAGCAATGAGATTCTGTGTATTCTTCGCTGTGTTGCTCGGACTGGTGCTGAGCCTTTCAAGCCGGTAAGAAACACTATCTTCTGCTTTGGGATTTGTTGGGGAAGCTATTCTGTTACAGTGAATGGATTGCTTAGTGCTTTTAGCAGCTGTTGAGAGACTGAAGGTCGGTGGCCAAACACAATTCAGGACGTCTAGATTTTGATTAATTAGTGATGAAAAATGTTACTGCGGGAAAACAGTTTTCGTTGTTCACAGAACAATGAAAAAGCGCTGGTGCTTGTGATTAACCTAATTTAGCCTGTTCCAAGAGCAGTTTTCAGAACCTGTAGACTAAACCCAGGTAATTCAACCTCTGTTACAGTCATAACAAAAGATGAGTGTTCTACCCCAGCACCCAGGGAAAAGGAGTGCTGCCGCTGGCCTTCCGAATGGAATCTCCTTAAACAAGCAGTCTGGAAAGCAGTACTGCCTGAGCTGGCTCACTGAGCATTTGTTCCCCTTCGATTAAAACTAATTAATTGGAACTTCACCAACTCAGATCGCAGAGGGCTGCACTATAGTCTATTCAAATGCAAGGGTGTGTGTCATTCCTTAAATCTCTTAATAGTTTTTCTAGCATTGTGACAATTTTGGTGGTTGTAGGTCAGAGCATCAGCCTGAACTTGCCTGTCCCTGGTATTCAGTGACAGTTCCAGGGCAGCAGAGGAGTTAGAATTAGTTAAGGTTAGTTAGGTTAATTAGTTAAGGTTAATTAGTTAAGTTAGTTATATGAAGAGTTTTGTGGCAACTTGAACCTGTGAGAGGAAATCCCAGCTACTTTAAAGCGATATGAGCTAAACTAAGACCTTCACTGATGCTATCAAGCTTGTTTCAGACGGTGACAGATGGTAGTGAGTCTCCACTGAGTACTGTGAGTGAACATAAGTATTTACAGCAACATCTACAACATGCTACAGACTGATTTTTAACCATAAATTATAAGTGTAGAAATCTTCATGACTGTCAGTTGTCTGGTTTTCTGTTTCTGGATAACAGCAAGATGTGAAAAATCTTGACCCAAGAAGTACTGGAAGCGAGGGGAGGCTTTCACTGACTTGAGCAGATTTTGCATTAGGTCAGGCCCTGACCAGAAACCTTTTTCATTCTGAGCAAACATTGTAAAAGCTTTGTATGATGTGTCCATTTGCAGAGTACTTACAAACTCCCTGCTCTGCTCAGCAGTCAGATGTCTGTTGTTCCATAGCCTGCATCTTAAGATCCATTACTTTATCTCCATGGTAAACATCTATTATACATCCTGTTTCCTTGCGTGGAAGGTTGGGTCTGGGCAAATATGGCCATAAAAGAGCCACCTTTGCTCAGTTTACCTTCAACAAGCCCAACGGTAGCTCATGCGCACTGCAGTCACCACAGATGTGATTCTTCCTGAGTCCAAAGGTACTCCTGGAGAGCTGTTAGCCAGAGTCTGTATAGGGCTAACAGATGTTGTAGGCCAAGGACTAGCTCTGCATGACATTAAGGCTGTAACATTGAGTTTGAGAAGGCAATCTAGAACAAGGCACCAAACCCACAGCCTGTGGCCAGCATAGACTCATAGATACTATCATGATTACAGCCAAAATGTGCATTTCTTCATGTTGACCAGGGAGCTGATTGCAGCCTACGGGACTCAGGGACAAGTGAAGGCAGAAGGCTTGGCAGAGAACTGGCACAGTTTCTGGCGTTTCCTCTCCACCCTGAGGAGACTAATGGATTACCTTAGGCCTTGTCTTTTTGACATGCATTTCCAAATCAGCTTTATTGATCAGAAGAACAAAGTCTATTAAATTTTCTTCTGTTTGGGATTTTTGAAGGCCTGTAAAAGTTCTTGAAGGGAGGTGCCTTATTTATTTATTTATTTATTTATTTATTTATTTGGGGGGGGGGGAGATTTTAGAGTCATTTGCAGTATTTTATTTAATATACCAGCTGTAAGAGTATGCTAGTGCCAAGGGTGTTAGCCACAACGTTAGCCTTCCATCTGTGTTGTTTATAGTTTAGATTAGATTATGATTGCATCTGTGTTGTTTATAGTTTAGATTAGATTATGATTGCATCAGCATTAACTGAGATTAAATACATTTATTCCTAACTCATAATAATTAAATACCTCAGATTGAAGTTATATCATGTGATCCAAACTGGCTGTTTATCAGTATAATGAATTTAACAGCAAGCCTGTGTTATTAGTTGCTTTCTTTACTTCGCACACAAATGAAACACGCAAACCCCGAACACCCAAAAAACTTTTACATCTTTATAACAAAAGTTAAGAATGGTACTTTTTAAATAAAAAAAAAGCAAACAAACAAATCAAAAAAGCACAATAAAGACAATATTCTAAATATAATTAGACAAAAGAGTTGAGAGTTAACACAGTAACAGGTAATGCTGAAACCAAACTGGAGGAAACTTCTTTTTCCTCAACTGTTCCTAGAATCAGCCAGATTTCTTCTCATTCAGAAAGAACTATAATGAGGAAGAAAAAGAATAATGAAAAATCAGAGGCAGAGGGAACTTTCCCACTGGGAGACACATGTCTGCTGGCAACAGAACTGTCTGTGGCTGGGAAGTACAGCTGGGGGGGAGGAGGGGTGAGATGTACTTCCCTTGTGGAAAATGTGCTCAAGAAAGGAGGTTTTTAAAGAGGAGCCAAAAACACATCACACTACAGAGTCATCAGGGCCTGGACAGCCCAGAGGCAGGGCAAAGCTGCCCTGGGATGGCCCAGTGGACACCACTCAGCTCCCCTCCTAAACTGCCCAGAGGTTGTTCTGCACACACAGCGGTTCCCCAAGACCTCTCCTCCACACACCATGAAGTAGCACTACAATATCTTTTGTTTTTCCTTCAACAGAGACAACAAACATGACACTTACTGCTAACAATACAACAGAAGGTAAGGATGAAAAATCCCTCAGGCTGCCCCTTATGAGGAAGCTTTGTGGTTACTCATTCCATGGAGCTCCAGAGCTCCCACAGCCAGTGTCTCATATTCTAGCATGAGTTTCAGATAGTTTCTCTGTTGGTGAAGTTGCGGAGCCCCAGGACAAAGCTGAGTCTCCTCTCCTGACTTCCTTCTCCTTCCTGGCTGGCCTTTGCTGTGCAGGAGGAGTGCTGGGGAGGAGTTCACAACCTGGTCCTCTCCTGGTGAGGCTCTCAGCCTCCTGGATCAGACGTGAGGATCCCCATCTATTTCACACATCCTTGCCATGCAGAAACAGTTGCTGCTTCACCGTTTCCCCAAAAGACTGCCACAGAGCAGGCCACGATGGGTGGTGTGTTCAGGGTATGTTGGGTGCCCTTGATCTGGCAGTGGGAGTCACCTGTGCAGAGCTGCTTTAGCCAGGTGGAGGGAAGGCTGCCACAGGTTCACCCACTGGACACCCCATATCTCCCCTCCTTACATATGCAGAGGCAATTCTGCACAAACTGCTTCCCTGGAACTCTCCTCCACACACCATGAAGTAGCACTACAATGTCTTTTGTTTTTCCTTCATCAGAAAACACAACTACAGCAACTGTGACACCTACTGCTAGCTATGCAACAGAAACAACAGTAGGTTGTTTCTCAGCCTCCCCCTTATGAGGACACGTTGGGGCTATTCAGTCGATGGATCTCCAGAGCCCCCCTCTACTCCAGGGAGTGGTGTATTCCCCTGCCTGGGTTTCTGTGCTGGTGGGGGTGTAGCAGAGCCTCAGGACAAAGGCTGACTCTCCTCTCCTGCTTCCCTTCTCTTCCCTTTCCGGCCACTGCTGCAAGGGGAAGTGTTGGGCACAATTTGAAGAGGCTGATCTTTTCCTGCTTGTTGCCTTTTCCTCCCAGACCTGTCCTGGATGCAAGAGGATCCCTCTAGACCTGGTAGCTAGGGCAAGTTCTGATCAGACTCTGCAGGGAGTTGCTGCTGTAGCTCTTTAGAGCATGATCAGGGATGGAAATGGGGGCTTGGCCTCCCTGATTATGCTCCAAGGCCCACATCTATTTCAGACATCCTTGCCATATGGACAGAGATGCAGCTCCACAGTTTCCCCAAAAGGGTGGCTGCAGAGCAGGCCATGATGGTGGGTGCCTTTATTGGCTGGTGGCTGCTTTCATCCTTTTCTGGTAGCTGGCACCGATGGAGCTGAACTGGGGCAAAGGCACTGCTCTTGTGGTGAATGTGCTCAAGACCAGGGATTGTGGGGAGAGGATACAAGGACACCTCATGCTATGGAGTCATCAGGGTCTGGGAGAGCCCAGAGGCAGGGCATGGCTGCCCTGGGATGGCCCTCTGTGCCCCATGCAGCTCTCCTCCTTAGCTGCCCAGAGGTTGTTCTGCACACACAGTTGTTCCACCACAAACTATGAAATAGCACTACAATGCCTTTTGTTTTCCCTTCATCAGGAACCACAGATACAACTGTGTCATCTCCTGCTACAACTCCAACAGAAGGTAAGGATGAAATATCCCTCAGGGTGCCCCTTAGGAGGACACATTAGGGTTACTTGCTGCATGGAGCCCCAGAGCCCTGATAGGCAGTGGTGTATTCCCCTGCCTAGTTTACCCTTAGTTTCTCTTGGAGGAGGAGTTGCTCCTCCAAGAGCTGCCTGTGTCCCATAAGTGCAGCTAAGCTGGGGCAAATGCACTCTCCTTGTGGGAAATGTGCTCAAGACCAGGAACTGCAGAGAGAGAAGTCACGGACACATCACAGGGTCATCAGGGCCTGGGACAGCTCACAGGCAGCACTGTCCATGAGGGGGGGTGAGATGGCCCACTGTACCCTACACAGCTCTCCTCCTAATCTGCCCAGAGGTTGTTCTGCACATGCAGCAGTTCCCCAAGACCTCTCCTCCACACACCGTGAAGTAGCACTACAATATCTTTTGTTTTCCCTTCAACAGAGACAAGCGTGACACCTACTGCTAGCTCTACAACAAATGCATCAGAAGGTAAGGATGAAAAATCCCTCAGGCTGCCTCTTAGGAAGACACTTGGGAGTTACTCCGTCCATGGAGCTCCAGAGCCCTGACAGTCAGTGGTGTATTCCCCTGCCTGCTCTACCCTTAGTTTATGTGGGGGAGGAGTCACAGAGCCCCAGGACAAAGCTGAGTCTCCTCTCCTGACTTCCTTCTCCTTCCTGGCTGGCCTTTGCTGTGAGGGAAGAGTTCTGGGGAGGAGTTCACAACCTGGTCCTCTCCTGGTGAGGCTCTCTGCCTCCTGGATCAGACGTGAGGACCCCCATCTATTTCACACATCCTTGCCATGCAGAAACAGTTGCTGCTTCACCGTTTCCCCAAAAGACTGCCACAGAGCAGGCCACAATGGGTAGTGTGCTAAGGAATTGTTGTGTGCCCTTGATCTACCCTGGCAGCGGGAGTCACCTGTGCAGAGCTGCCTGGGTAAGGCAGATGGAACTTTTCTGTTCCCACTGAGAGACACGTCTGCTGGAAGAAGAGCTGCCTGTGTCCCATAAGTGCAGCTAAGCTGGGGCAAATGCACTCTCCTTGTGGGAAATGTGCTCAAGACCAGGAACTGCAGAGAGAGAAGTCACGGACACGTCACAGGGTCATCAGGGCCTGGGACAGCCCACAGGCAGCACTGTCCGTGAGGGGGGGTGGGATGGCCCACTGTACCCCACACAGCTCTCCTCCTAATCTGCCCAGAGGTTGTTCTGCACATGCAGCAGTTCCCCAAGACCTCTCCTCCACACACCGTGAAGTAGCACTACAATATCTTTTGTTTTCCCTTCAACAGAGACAACAAGCGTGACACCTACTGCTAACTCTACAACAAATGCAACAGAAGGTAAGGATGAAAAATCCCTCAGGCTGCCTCTTAGGAAGACACTTGGGAGTTACTCCGTCCATGGAGCTCCAGAGCCCTGACAGTCAGTGGTGTATTCCCCTGCCTGCTCTACCCTTAGTTTATCTGGGGGAGGAGTCACAGAGCCCCAGGACAAAGCTGAGTCTCCTCTCCTGACTTCCTTCTCCTTCCTGGCTGGCCTTTGCTGTGAAGGAAGAGTGCTGGGGAGGAGTTCACAACCTGGTCCTCTCCTGGTGAGGCTCTCAGCCTCCTGGATCAGACGTGAGGACCCCCATCTATTTCACACATCCTTGCCATGCAGAAACAGTTGCTGCTTCACCGTTTCCCCAAAAGACTGCCACACAGCAGGCCACAATGGGTAGTGTGCTAAGGAATTGTTGTGTGCCCTTGATCTACCCTGGCAGTGGGAGTCACCTGTGCAGAGCTGCCTGGGTAAGGCAGATGGAACTTTTCTGTTCCCACTGAGAGACACATGTCTGCTGGAAAAAGAGCTGCCTGTGTCCCATAAGTGCAGCTAAGCTGGGGCAAATGCACTCTCCTTGTGGGAAATGTGCTCAAGACCAGGAACTGCAGAGAGAGAAGTCACGGACACGTCACAGGGTCATCAGGGCCTGGGACAGCTCACAGGCAGCACTGTCCATGAGGGTGGGTGGGATGGCCCACTGTACCCTACACAGCTCTCCTCCTAATCTGCCCAGAGGTTGTTCTGCACATGCAGCAGTTCCCCAAGACCTCTCCTCCACACACCGTGAAGTAGCACTACAATATCTTTTGTTTTCCCTTCAACAGAGACAACAAGCGTGACACCTACTGCTAACTCTACAACAAATGCAACAGAAGGTAAGGATGAAAAATCCCTCAGGCTGCCTCTTAGGAAGACACTTGGGAGTTACTCCGTCCATGGAGCTCCAGAGCCCTGACAGTCAGTGGTGTATTCCCCTGCCTGCTCTACCCTTAGTTTATCTGGGGGAGGAGTCACAGAGCCCCAGGACAAAGCTGAATCTCCTCTCCTGACTTCCTTCTCTTTCCTGGCTGGCCTTTGCTGTGAGGGAAGAGTTCTGGGGAGGAGTTCACAACCTGGTCCTCTCCTGGTGAGGCTCTCTGCCTCCTGGATCAGACGTGAGGACCCCCATCTATTTCACACATCCTTGCCATGCAGAAACAGTTGCTGCTTCACAGTTTCCCCAAAGTGCTGCCAAGGATGCTATTGTGGGTAATGAGTTCAGGGACTGCTGGGTGCCCTTGACCTGCTCTGGCAGTCAGAGTCATCTGTGCAGAGCTGCCTTAGCGAGGTGGATTTAATGCTGCCACACGTCCCCCCACTGAACCCCACACACCTCTCCTCCTTATCTGCTCAGAGGTTCTTCTGCACACACAAGAGTTCCCTAAGACCTTTCCTCCACACACCATGAAGTAGCACTACAATGTCTTTTGGTTTTCCTTCATCAGGAAACATAACTACAACAACTGTGACACCTGCTGCTACAACTCCAACAAAACCATCATCAGGTAAGGATGAAAAATCCCTCAAATCAGCCCTCATACGGACACTCTGGGGTTACTCATTCCCATTGGGGATGGCCTTTTCTTTTGCCCAGCCTTGCCCGAGTTTCTGTAGAGGAGGTGTCACAGAACCCAAGGACAAGGCTGAATCTCCTCTCCTGACACCTTCTCCTTCCTGGCTGATCTTTGCTGCAAGGGAGAAGTGCTGGGGAGAAGTTCACAAAACTGGTCCCTTTCCGAGTAGGGACTCAGACCTCATAATTAGACTCAAAGACCCCCATCTATGTCACACATCCTTCCCATGTATTAATAGTTGCTGCTTCACAGTTTCACCAAAGGACTGCCACAGAGCAGACTGTCATGAATAGTGCATCCAGAAGCTGGTGGGTGTCCTCAACATCACCTCTTTCCAACAGTTGGAATCACCTCTGCAGATCTTCCTTGCTCAAGTGGAGGTAGCATTCCTGCAGGGAGTCTAGGTTGTGTGCATAACTGGACCAGCTGTGTCCAGTCTGTGTTCCTGAGCTCGGGGGAATATGCTCTTCTCGTGGGAATGTAATGAAGCTTGACTATTGCAATTTCATAGAAATCTTGACATCAACATCTTTCATCTTTGTATCAGCAGATCCATGCAAACCAAATCCTTGCGGAACAAATTCGGCTAAATGTATTTCTCTGCATTCCGACTATGTCTGCGAGTGCCCCTATGGATTCTACTACGACAGCAGTACTTGTTATCCAGGTGAGTTGCAGGACAGCAATCTATATTTAAGATAACTGCAATCTATATTTTAGGTGCTTCATAGATAACTGCTCAAGTGGAGTTTTCTTCCCACATGCCTGGTTCTCATGTTATAATTGAAAACATAATCAGTCTGGGAAAATAGCTGGTGAATAATGCCTTGTTTTGCAGACAGCCACTTCTACAATGACCTAGATTGTTATCTCACAAAACAGTAACAGTAATGTGATAAGAAAAGAAGGTGAATTCCCTGAGTGTCAGGCATGCTGGAGATCAAAATGTGTGAAAACCAGGAAAGTAATGCAAGTGTAAGCTTGACATTATATTTATGGCCAAGATTTATAAAAGCCCAAGCCTATAAAGACAGAATATTTGCCTTGATTTTCCCTCTTGCTAATCTTTCATCAAAGTCCTGTTGAAATGCACCTCTGAGATGCTGTTGAAGGACAAGCATGGGAGCAAATGGGGCTTGTTATTTAAGTGCCAGCAGGTAGGACTACCAAATTTATGTGTGAGTCGAAGCAAACAGGTAGACACCAAATTTTTTTTTAGATATGGTGAACCATGTTAGCTGCTTAGTGGCTGTGACTGCAGATTTAGTCTTTGATGTATATCACTAAATTCTGTAACACCTCAGATGGAGTCTTTTGTTAGCTTTGGATCATGCTTATAGTTAATGTCATTCAATTTCACAGTCTGGCCAGTTTAATTGAGACCAGGATCCTGCCTGCTTCTCAGGTAGCCAGAGTATGCACCCCATTGCTGCTGAACTGATTGAGCAGACATTTGCTCCATACCAAATCCTCCATGGATATATGAAAAATAGTAAAGATTGTTTTTTTGTGCTGTATTTCCTCATCTCTGAAGGCTGGAGAACCCTAAGGTAAAACCCAAATTTCTTGAATGGTTTCTAATAAATTAATAACCTCTGTTTTCATTGCAGGGAAAATATTCCCAGGGACCATTACACTGGCAGGAACTTACCCTAAGGATATTGAAACTGTAAATTCCTCACTGTATCAACAGATGTCCGAAAATTTAACAGCTTTTGTGAGTGACTTTATTTTTAAACTTTCCTGCATATTTAATGCTTTACTGAATGTGATGCAGACAGAGGGGATACGTGCTGCCTTTAAGGTATAGCCTAAGATAGTTTCAGTTAGGAAATCCACTTTCAGAGAATACTTCACACTCACTTAGATCTATTCATTAAAGAATTGAATTTTGCCCTCAGATGACTACATGTATGGCTCTTGCTGAAGGAAGGGTTGCACCTGAGATAAAGCAATATTGGCAATTCCCAGTGTTCTGGGAAGTCCTCAGATTGCTCTGTATGTGAAAGCACCATTCTCTCTCCATAAACCATTGGGTGAAGCAAAGTTTTCCAAAACATTTAGTTTCTGATCTCTACTGTTTTCTGAGGACTCAGTAATACTCAGCAGTTGAATAAAAACAAAAAAAAAAACTTCTATCCTTTCCCTATCCTTTCCCTATCTTTTCCCTATCCTTTCCCTATCCTTTCCACAAAGCACAAACTTTTCAAAATGACTGTCTAGCTGTGTCTAAATACCTAAATAATGTCTCTTCCATAAGCATACCAGTATCCATATTTTAATTATATCAATGAAATGGATATTACACATGTTGAGCATTCTGTGATTATGGATAAAGTCTTGTAATGGACTTCATGTAGAAGTAAGATAAAATGTTTAATTCACACTGCTCTGTAAGCAAACCAGGGGATTCGCTTAGGTCATTTTTCTGGAAGTAAGGAATCAGAGAACTGTAGAATATCTGAGTTGGAAGGGACCCACAAGGTTCCAAGGGTTCCAAAGGACCACTTAGCCCCAAAAAAAGGAAGGAAGAAGAGGTCTGCACCTCTGCCAGAGACCCAATCAGATAATATGAAATATTAATGAAATATTAATCAGAAGTCATCACACATGGCTTACAAATTCTTTGTGTTATTATATTGCTTCCTGTGAAATTCTTAGCAGGGAGTAACCAAAAGTTGTCCCTTCAGAATGTTAAAAAAAAAAAAAAACAGTCTGCTCATTTTTTTGGTCCGACATTTTTTCATGTCATGGCTACATGACATGAAGCACTAGAATAGATATGTAATACTATAAAAAGTGAAAATAACATAAAACAATTTTCATTTTATTATAAAGAAGGATAGTTGATCTTTCATTTCAGCTGTCTTAGGCACTTTTTCCTTTTCTTATGGTGCCTCCTGTGTATGTGGCAGTTGGCTGCCTCCACTAGTTGTTCCCTGCTTCACACAGTGTGAGGGAGAGCAGTGACTTTTCTACTGACCCCATCCATCCCCTTGTACTTTTATCAGTGCTGTGTTTCTCCCCACAAGATCAGCCCCTGATGATCCCACTTGATTGCATGTTAGTGACATGCGCCATCTGTAAGGATGTCTATTTCTCCCTTTTCTCTCTGCATCTATGTAGGTTGATACTGCAGACTTCCTTCTAAGTGGTAAGTCTGCAAGGCAGTGTCTGTAGCTGTCCATCCAGCCTGCCCAAATGCACTGCTTGCCATTCATGCAACTCATGTCTCTCCATTCATCCACTGCTCTCCTGTACTTCCTGTTTTGCAGCATCACCCCACAGCTCCTCTTCTGCAGTATCTTGCATGGCTGATGTGACTGATTGGTTTATTTGTGCCCATGGTAATGTGTTCAGGGTCAAAAATTCACAGCTGAAGAATCGGTGCTTCATGGGATTATGGTCTATGTTTCTGCTTGGCTTTAACTCCAATTCATTTATCTTTTACAGTTTGAGGCAGCATTTAACTTAACAGACTACAAACAGACTGTCATCGTGAAAGTTCAGTAAGTTTGCCAGTTTGTTTTTTCCACTGTGTGTGAAGCTTGCTTTGTGTGCTTCCCACAGACCTCTTTTTAATCTGTTTCCTGTGGAGTCCTCAGTTCAAGAAAGAATATGGGATGAATTCAGTTCAGTATTACTGTTGTTAAATCAGGCCATTCATTTGCTATTTTTAAAATCCCTGCTCCATTTTTGCTCTATAGATTTCCGATAGGTCTGTGAAGTGGGCAGGCTGTGACAGCTCTACAGTGGATCTCCCACTTTTATCACCATGTAGGATACAGCACTGTGCCAGTGACTAGGCAGTTTGTTCCTGTGATGGCTGACATGCCTCTGAAAATGTAACAGTTAACACTGAAGTTCCAATGAATATGTCCAACTTGGAGTCCCAATTTAATTTCAGAAATGGCCTCACTACAGAAACCCACTGCATTTCTTTCCGTATTTGTCGGTCTTCCCTGATGGCAGGCTGAACAAAAAGGTTATTGAATGCGCTGTGGGCATAGGTCCTTTGCTGGTGTAGGTGGACACTGCAACATGTCCTTCTCTTCCCATCCCCATCTGTTACAGATTACTGTTCGAGAGCTTTGCCATCTTCTCTGCACACACTCCCTAACCACATCAAGCAAAATCTGGCTTGATAGCACATGGAGCAGTGTAAACCCTTTCAGCTAATCCTGTGGCTTGATCAGTTAAGCAGACTGTTGTTCTAGAAGAGTTGTGAGGGCAGTAACTTCCATCAGAGGGGTTGTGACAAACACATGGGGCACAGTAACTTTTTAAGGCACTACAGCAATCTGCCATTTAAAGGTATTTGTGTGCATGTCCAAGCACTATGAAGTTCAAGCTGAAGAATAGGGCAGTAGTCACTGCTGCGCTGCACCTCATGCCAAGGAGATCGCTATCCAGCTGAACCCAATCCAGCTAATGTGAAGTTATCATAAATATAGTGTGAACAGACCCTTCTGACTTCATTGTGGCCATACCCCGAATTGTCCTCACCGTGCTTCAGGGTGGGCTCTCCAAGTCAGTCTTCAATGACAGCCCAGGCTGATAAGACTATGAAAAATTGGGATCTGGTGGATTAGATCTTCCACACTGCAACAGGTTTGAAGCTAGCCCAGTAAAAAAACAAAAACAAAAACAAAAAAAACCAATAGTTTCATAGCACTTTCATGCCAATACGTTTGTATGTAAAAGACGATGGCTATTACTGGATTCGTGAGTAAGCCTTGAACTCATTTTCAGGTGCCTTAGCAACTACCTACGTTGTGGGATGAAAGAAGTTAGGGGGGAGGGGGAAGTTTGGAAGAAATCTTCTGCTGTCTTTGCATCTAGCTTTTTACCTATATGGGTTATTTGAGATGTTAAAATGATGCTATCATCTGTATTTCTCAGAGTTACTACAGGAAACACCAGAAGTGAAAATTCTGGAGTGAGCATAACAGTGATGAACATATTTGAGAAAAACACAAATGAAACCACCGAAACAGTTACTGGTCTAATAATGGCAGAAGCAAACAGGTCCAACTCCACGTATCTCTACAGCAGTACGTAATCACTTACTGTTGAAGTAAATAATCAATAGAAGCAGAGGTTCCTATCTTCAAAGTTGATTAGAACATTTCTGTATGCAGCAAAGCCCATTAGAGCATAAACCTTGTTGATTTTAAGGAGCTGAGTGTTCGATCAAACATGAGTTTGAGGAATCAAACATTCAGTGCTGGGCTTTTTTGTCTTACTAAAGCTTTCTACCTCCTGTGTGTGCAAGTGATGGAAAATAATTATTCCCAAATAAGCAATGGCATGTTGATTTTAATCTGATGAGCGTTAAGTGTCTGGAGAAAACAGGACAAAACAGTTGCAGACATAGATTTTGCTTCTCAGAATAAACCAGTGTTTTACTGGAAAAAGAGGATGAAACTTTCTTTAGATGTTTTCTTCCATAATTGACCATATTTATTGATAAGAACCCTCACTGATTAGATGCTCAGCTAGGCGATGCTAAACCTGTAAAATCCTGAATTACTAAAAGTGTAATTCTTGGAGAGCATTTTTGTAATAAAGTAAGGATTTTTTTTTTTTAAGGTGCTCATATTTTGAAATTAGCTTTTGCTAAAGGTGTAGCTAATAATTAAAAGAATCCAGTTCATAGCTTATAGCCTGAGTTTGGTCTCCAAGATGACTGTATCCACCTCAGCCTTGACATTTCCTATGTGCTAGTCCTAAATATGAGAAGAAAACAGAAAACCTGACAGCTCACAAAGTATTGGTGCAATCACATCCCTCCATTCCTCCACTGTATGCCACCCACTGAGCTCTGTTAACTGTTGCCAGCATTGGAACATGGATCTGAAGAACAACCTGCTTGGCAAACATCATACTGATATTTGTCATGCAGTGAGCTGCATGCCCATAAACATTTAAATCTGTGCAGAACTCCATGAGATCTGGCCCTCACAGTTCAGTTGTACAAAATACTAAAGAAATAGTGCTGGAATTTTTAAAATATATATTTTTATATATTTCTTCTTATTTTTTTTTTAGGGTGAGCTAGAAAATCAGTGTTCAGAATATGAACTTATGGGTAGAATTTCCATCTTTCTGTACTGGTTTGGGGCGGGGGTGGTGGGGAGGAAGGAAGATATGGAGGCAGTTGCGGGAGGCTGAGAAACAGAATGTCAGAAGATGCAATGGAAACAGGGTCTTAAATGGTGATGGGCAAGAGAAAAGAAAGGACTGGTCCAAATGCCTGCAGTAGGTGATGTCCCCTCAAAAAAAAGACATAATTTTTTATTCAGAACTGCTTAAATAAAATGGTTTATGGCTTACTCAGCAATTGTACTACTTTCTATGAAAGGATACTATTGGTACTCAGGTTTGCTTACTGACCATTTCTCTTTTAAAGAGACAAGCCATTGTGCTGTTTTTGATTGTGATAGTGCAACCACAGAATGTCAAGAAAGTGAGTATCCAGAATGCAAGTGCAAAAACGGTTTATCAAAGACAGAGTGGGATGATCGTTCTTGTTCAGGTAAGAACCTTGCTACTTTATTTATCCCTGAAAGGCTGACCTGGTCATCCTGTCTCAGTCTTTTTGAATTCTCAAATGCTCTGAGCTCTAAAAGTCAGGAAACACATGTCATATTAAGCAATCAATAGAGACACATTCTTACCTTTCACTTTGAACACGTCCATAATTCTATTCCAGTAAAATAAATCACTAAAGCCTGAGAAAAGTATCACTGAAATCAGTGATTGGGCAACTATTTAAATTCATTGTTAAACTCTTGGTAAGAACTGAAACCTATACCGATAAAGAGTGGAACAAAATTAATCTTATATCACAGCCTTCTCTGCTAGGATATATTTTGGGAATAAACTCCACATGCTACCTGAAGGCAGCTATGGAAATGCAAACAGAACTGGAAGTCTAAGTATTCACCACAATGATCTGCTAAAACTATGTCCCTTGTTGGTAGTTCCAGGATTGCATTACCCATGTTTAAACAAATATTTGTGTAATTAATGAATTTTTGGACCTGTTAATTGTTTAATTGTTGAGGTTTTATTTGATTGCTTGCTTTGAATTTTCACAGTACTCTTCTTGTATTTTAACAATTCTCCAGAGACCTGAGATGTACGCTATTTTCTTGCTATGAAAACTAAATTTTTTTACACTATAGAAAAGATGCGACATTTTAAGAAAAACGACAAATATTACAAACTCTCGTGATAAAATCATGAAAGCTGGCTACAATAAAGACCAATGAGTTGCTGTCTGGTGTAGGCCTTTATAGCTCCTACCCTGTCTAAATACGATCCAGTTTTAGATCATTTGCAGTATAGATCATCTGTTGTGAGATCAAACTGTAGGATAATTGGATTGCCTATGCAAGATGAAGCCTAGGTGATCCCAGTTCTGAACTGTGAACGCAGATGTTTTAAACAAGGGCCTCTTATTTCTCATTTTGTGCTTTTGTATTTCAGGTTCTGTTTGACATACATACAACCCTAAAAAAAAAACTATTCTGCTGTTTTGAAGCACAACAAAGTTGTGTGTGTTTGCATTTCAATTAAAAAAAAAAAAAAAGTGTGTGTGTGGAAATTATCCCAGGTTTTATAGTATCATTAGAATATAGAAGTGTTTCCAGGATGGTGTTCTACAAAGTTTTTGTGTTGTTGTTTTTTTTTATATTTTTTTATTTTTTTGGTGCTATCTTCAATTCACTGTATTTTTCCCTCTGAAAATAGATTGCAGTAGTGACTGTTCTGCAAATAACAACAAGTACTGTGCCAAAGCAAATGGGGTTCCACAATGCTATTGCATGACTAACTTTAAGGAGGAGGGCGAAAAATGTGTAAGGTGAGTGCTCAGCTTTTTTCTGCATTCCTATGTTGTAGGTAGTTAGGGAAGAAAAACAGTGTCAAAAAAATATATAAAATAAATCTAAAACAGGGTCACCCTCAGTCTAAAAGAACAGCCTGCAGCTATGTGAATCAGGGAGGTGCCTGAGGTGGTTAGCAGGTAGACAAATTCACACATTGTCACAAGTTACAATGGTTTAGCTGCTTGGCATTAGCTGTTGGTATGCACTCATAATACCCCAGAGGAAAGTCATGGAGGCCCAAGGTCACCTGTGATCCAGTGAAGAAGATAAACTACCTCACACTTATTTTGTGGGATACTCCCATAGACATAAACTATTCTTCCAGAGTAACTAACCTGCAGGAATTTGTATGCTGAAGTGTTCAGTAAGCAACCTGCAGTAGTGCAAGAGTTGCCTCAAATCCCTGGAAAATTTCCTCTGGTATTAGGAGGGACTTTGTTCCCTGATAAGTTTCAGACCTATGTTATTTTGTCTTGGTTTTCCCGCTGCGGGTATTGCTGTCAGCTCACATTCAGAACAGAGCAGAGTTGTTTGCTGGTAAAGCTGAGAAGGTTGTTGTGCTCTGTTCTTGTGGATAAGAAGTAGGACCTTACTTCCCCAAACTGCTAATTCACCACTTTTTATTGTTACTGCTGCTCTGCACAGAATGGAATCACTTCTTACCATGATGTCAATATATTTGAAATTTAAGAAACTAGTATGGGAGGAAGACAAAGAGTAACCAGTCCTTACAGACCTTATATTGAAACTTTTGATGAAGAATATTTTTCAGCAGCAGGTTGCAATTACAAGTGTTTTAGGGATCCACAGGTTAGTTCTTTGAAGAAATTAGTCCTTTTTAGCATTTTTGCAGGCTGAGAACCTGAAACTTTGAGTTCCCAGCTTACCAATCATCCTGAAAATCTCAGATTGTTTTCCTCTAACAATGAAACTAAATTTAATATTTAGGTAGAATCAAAAAGGAAACCTGTAATGAGCGAATCTTGCAGAAATGTATGATAAAGTGTGGTAATATACTATTATTTTGTGATCATCCGCTGAATGACATTGTCTTTCTTTTTCACCTTTTTTTCTTTCTTGTCTCATGTAGCTGTCCAGTGGGCTACTCTGGACAGAACTGTGAGAACAGTAAGTACAAGAATTTCTGATTTTGAATTATAGCATGGAAAAATACCCATTAATGTTTAACCTGCTTGAGATAACAAAAATAACAAGTAGTAGCCTTTAGAGGTGTGATCATTCTATAGTGATAGCAGGAAGATGTTAGAAAAGAATGAGTGAAATTCCACTGTTGCCTGAAAGACCGAATTCTTGAATCTCACATTCAGACAGATGGTAGCATTTCTTCTAATGACCTCTGCATTAAGCCTGATAGCTTTTAGTCAAACACAGGTTATTTGGCGGAAAAGCTTTTAGTCCTCATCTGAAGATATGCAATGCTGAATTTAGCACCACCGATAGATTAGTTTCGCCTGTAATTAATCACTCCCTGTAATTATTCACTCTCATAAAACATCAGTGAATTGCTTTCATTTGAAATGTTCCTGCTGTAATATCCAACTACTAGCTCTTGTTTGTGCTTTACCTTGCAAGCACTGTTTAATATCTAGTATCCTGTACTGGTGAAGAGATGATGGGTCCAACTGTGTTGTCCCATAATTGTAATTGTTGGGACAAACTAATCAGACTGGCTTTCCAAAGCTTTTTCCATCTTCTGAGTCTGTTTTGCAGCTGTTCTGTGCACCCTCTCCAAATTCCACTGTCATATAAATTAGGAGGGGACATCCTTCATCTCTGCTAGCATTTGCACATGCTTAAATTCAGAACATTTTCTGTTGTCTATGCCTAAAATTTTGTAGATTGGCTAATGGTGGTTGTAGTGCAGCACAAAGTAGCTTTCCAGGTATAAATATCTGGCAGGAAGGATATTTTTCATCCTATGGAACATGCATTTTGGGGGAAAGCTTTGGAAATCTTAATGCCTTTTTCTTAAAGCAAATGAAAACACTAAATATGTACAAAACCAACACAGACATTGGGAATTTAAGCACAAATTTGAGACCCTTTAATAATAAACTCCATTAATAACCCCATCTTCTCTACATGGCACTTAGTGTGTAATAATGTAAACAGTTGCTGAGCAGTAATCAAGGATACTTTACACGTTTGATGTAACATTCTTCTGAGAAATCATACTCCCTGGTGTCTTGATATATGCCCCCAATATGATTAAGATTTTGCTTGATTGCTCTGCTGGTTGATGGTTTCATGTTGTGCATGTCTACAGTAGGCATTCAGTATATTAAATGGTAAACTTAAAAATTCAGACTGGGATCCCCAAGCAGTAAGGTTGGGCAGCGCAAGAGACTGTCTTACTCATCCTGCCCTTTTCTTGAAATGATGCCCTACAGGACACCATTCTTAGTCTTTTCTTTACTATGGCTATGGAGAGCTATACGTCGGTTGTAGTAGCAATTCCATTCATATTTGAAGGGAGATATGCAGAATCCAGGTCTTCCTTCCCTTAGTTATCCTGTTTCTACAGCAAGGTCAGTGAAATTGAATTTTCCTTGCCAGACATTTGTTCAGATATCAAATATTTATTCAGTGTTCACAGGGCCACATAATAGACACCCTAAATCAGTCTGTCCTAAGTATCTAGTGTGCCTGTGGGAGTCAAATAACTACACGTTAGCAGCAATTTTAGCTTAAGCAACCCCTATATCCTCCTGGTCCTTCCTGCTCCCCAGTTGTAATGGAACAACCATATGTGAAGCCATTCAGCGCATGGGTTTAGAAACCTGTGCTAGAATCAAAATAGCCATCCAGAAGAGTCTTTAATGCAAATTAGTGCATTAATTTACAGCTTTCAGTGTCCACACAGACAGTTGGACTAAAGCAGCATCAGGAGCCTAGGAATGAATAACGTTTTTTTTATTATTATTTTTATTTATTTTTTATTTTAACAGCAAGAGCTTCAATATTTGCCATGAGTTTTGAATTGCTGTATCTTTGTTTTTTCCAGATTTTGAACTCATCCTTATAATAGTGGGCACAGTTCTTGGAGCCATTATCCTGTGTTTAGTGGTAGCAGTCTCAGTTGTTTCAGTAAGGTAAGAGTATTTCTGACAATTGAATAGAAAGTGCATTGCTGTGTGTTACTAGAGAACTGAGCAGAAATTTAGAGAGGGACAGGGCTGTAAAAGTAGTTGCACTTTTGCAACTGTGGTTGCAAAAATGAACCTGGGCCATCAAGTTCATTTAAGTTCTGTAGCCATCAGTAGCCAGGCATCTCTTTAATTCTTACTATTCCTAGTCTACTGGTGAATTCCTGTTTACAGATGAACCTCCTCCCCTCTGTCCATACAATAAATAAACATTCAAGCACCTTCTCTGCCTTTGCTTTAAGTGCTGCCCAAGTAAAGACTATCATAAGACCTGCCATAATGAACATACTTCACCTTCAGTGCACAAGCCAGTGCTGAGTGTGTGAGAAATGTGGACTTGTGATCACAGGCAATTCAAACACATCATTTGACTGTGAAGCTTTTGCTGCCAGCAAGAAGGCAACTTTTCTAAACTGGACCTAATGGATGTCTCGTTTCCTCCTCTGAATAGTCAGTCAGAGCTAGTGGTGGTCAAGGAAACTCCTTCAGTTCAGGATCTAGCTGCGAGGTCAAAGTTGCCCTCTGTCTTTCCTAGCAGCTTATCCCCATCTGTGATAAGAGATGCCAAGTTTGCACTCTGCCACTGATTACAAGGGATTTTGCAAGATGTATGCTAGAAAAATCCATTGCATGTTTCAGAACAGGACTGAGCATTCAAAATAAGGTGGAGGGACATCTGAATAGGTAAGGTACTTTTAAAGATCTTTTAAAAACTCTTTTTTTTGTTTGTTTTTGTTTTGTTTCCTCTGAAGAGCCAAACACAGTAAAGATCCAGAGAAAAAGAGCTTGATAAAGCCAGGACATTCCAATCCTGATACCTCTAGTGAGACCAGGATCTTCCCCAGAGTCCAGACCACTTCTGGCCATGGAAATCCAGGGTATCAGCCAAACCCGTATGAGGCTCGTTCCTCAAACAGGAATCGTTTTTTGGACGGGGATTATGATGATGTGGTAAGTGTTTCATACAGGCCTATGGGAACTGTGTTCCTGGACTGTGGTGTTGTGGGCTACTGACATTGTTGGAACCTAAACTCCACTCTGTCTCCCTCCCTTGATCTAAAGGGATGGAGTGTCACAAAGACAGCCAAAGGACTGTAGCTGCAGCTGAAAAAAGTTCCCTAACACAAAGATCAGCAGACATCTCATGAAGACCTTTTTTAAGCCCTATTGGTCATTCCTGAGTCACAAGTGTCATAGGTGAAAAGCAAAGGTCTATGCAACAGTCTGGCTGCCCAGAGGTCTGCTGTATGATAGGACCTTTTTCTACATCAACTGCAGACATCCTTCAGCACAGGGGCATGTGGAAGCATCACAAGCCATTGCAACGTGTGCTTCTTTTAAGATAGTTGTAGTATCCACTAAAATTTGATACAAGTGCTGCAGTGGTGCTCCCCAGTTGCAGCTTCGTGAAAGATTCACAGTCAGTTTAAGCTGGCACAGCTGCACAGACAGACAGCATCCTCCCCCGTCTCTCTGAGCTGTGTATGTGTAGTTCACAGCAATAAACCTCTGCAATTCCTACAGCACTGAAAAGGGGTGAAGTGCAAAGTGCCATGAAAAAAATAGCACAGCTTTTGCATTCATGTAGCATGGGGGAGCCTGTTCAGCAAAAAAGTGTCATGAGCTGCATGTGTGTTCTGAAAAACTGACTGTTTTATCCTTGTATTACTGCAAGGGAGCTGTGAAGGAAGCAGGGACTTGAGAAGTGATATGAGTGATTTGTTGGGTTCTGCACATATCCAGTAAATAGGGAGTGCTTTGTCCATTCAGAACTCTTTAAATAACATCTTAGACCTTTGCAGTCTGAGAAACTACCCCTGTTTACTGAAGACAATTTGTTTAATTGCAATACACTTACATGTCTTGCAGAATTGAGGCCTATGCCATGATAAAAGCAACACAGAAGCCTGATGTTTAAAAAAAGAACTTTTAAAAAGCTGCCAACTGAAAGAAGAAAAACATCCATATAGTTAGTTAACTGATCATATTCACGTGGATTTTGGCTTTTCTAACTTTCCAAAGATGTCAACTTTTTGTTGATGAAAACCTGTTGAAAATCTGTCTGTGAAATACATTTGGTTTTCCATGAGGGCTGATGTGTTGCTTATTGGGCTACCATGTGCAGTGTGTTACATGCTGAGCTATTCTGAGAAAAAAGCTTTCTGACCATGAGAAACTCTTTTTTCCTTTTCTTGTCCAAATTCTCTCTAGTATGACATGTCACGGGAGCCTGAGGGCTTTAGGATGCAACGCAGATAACTAAGTGGCCAGAGTGGCAGAAGGATGGATGACCACCGCAACAGTGGGTCAGACCAAAGAGTTTCACAGCCTCTTACCAGTGCAGTTATTTCAGCAGCAGAGACAAAGTCCTTAACACCAGATTCTCTGAAGATTTTCTAAATGAAGGCTTCTACTTGAAGGAGAACAGTGGGCAATAGCTCTCTGAAATAAAGGAAAATAAAAATTAAGCAGAAGGTAGGGAGAAGATGATGATTTCGAAATCTAAAAGCGTCCTGTAAACATTAAACTCCCTTCAGAAGGCCAGTGCATTGATGAGAAAGTGAGTGTAGACAAGATACCAGGATTTTAATCCTGCTGTTATTCTGTTCTTGTGAAAGATGGTCACTGCAACACGTGTGATATTGATAAATGTCAGCTCCCAGAGCTTTGCCTATATCACTCCATTGCAGCTAAACGCTACCTGTGTAGCTGTGGGCAGATCAAAGCAATATCAAAACTGTTCTTCATGAGAACCTATCACTCTCTGTACTATATAAGATACAGTCTTTTTTCCCCTACTCAACCCCATAGTATTTCCCATCTGAAAGTATTCGGTTCAAATCTCTGCTGACACTTGTGTGAGACAATTGTACTGTCTGACCGCTTATGCAGCCTTCCTTCCAAATACAACAACAAAACCCTGTAACTTCAAACACTTTTTTTCTCCATTTTGCATAAGTACATTGGTTGTTTGTGGAAAGCATTACCATTATATTTTTCCCTCTTGCACTCTGTAAGTTTTGATGGAATCATCTTGAGTCTTTATTTTTCATTACTTATGTACACTCAATAGATACTGTAAAAAATCCATATTTTACCATATTTTTCTGAGTGTGCATATCATTATCTGTTGACTAGTCATTGGCATTTCTTTATATATATAATATACATATTGCCCAGAAATGTACATATATTTATAGGTTATGTTCATTTAAAACATCATTAAATTCTGTATTATGTTTTGTGTTTTGCTTTTGTTGTATTAGATTAACTTTTCCTATTAAACATTGTTGTTTCTCAGTACCAAGCCTTTCTTATGTTACTGTGAAGTGGTGTTTCTTTGTTTTTAATAAATCCAAAGACTATTTGATGTTAAAACTTGTGCAGAGTTTAAATGCAAGTGTGCACAGACTTGCACAGACAAACATCTTTCACTCAGAGGTTCTGATAAGAAATGTTACTAAATCTTAATGAACCTAAAATGTGTACTGTCGTAGGGCTAGCACCAAATTTCTGTAAACACTTTCAGTGGGAACTGTGTCAATAAGGCAGGTAGGTCTCCTATAAAAAAGTTGTCCACACTGCTCTCTGAATGGCAGGGGAGACCCCTTCCTTCCTCCAGCTGGGAACCCTGCTGGGGGAACCAGAGGGTGGGAAGCAGCCCCCTCAGGTATGATGAGCACCAGCCTCATGACAAAAGGACTCGTTCCCTTCCCCAACAGCTTCACTACTGCATGCCCCCCATGCCTACTGCCCCTCTCCTGTCCTCTGGGCCCTGTGTCCTTGCCATTCCCTGGGTGAGGAAGAGGCTCCCTCTCCTACTCCCCTGCTAAGCCTTTGGGAGAGGAGGACTCCTTTCCTTTTCCCCTACTTTTCACCAGCAGGATTAGGTTATGCTGCTAGAAGAACACGCCAGCAGGTGCAAGGAGGTGAGGCACTGATAAACAGATGGGATACAGAGAGAGCAAATAGCAAAAAGTCATTAAGTTCAGTGTAAACTTCGACTTTGTTCAGCTGATTTCTGCTTGGAAACCCTCTCCTCACCTTCTTTATAAGGCAGACTGAAACTTACGTCAAGCCTAATAAAAAGATTTATCTACATCAAGAGTAATAGCCCGTGGTCTTTCACTGAAGTAAATTTCCCGTTTCATCCACTGAGTGCTGAGGATCCCTTAAAGGATCCTGTGTGCCAGTAGCCTGTTACAGATGTACAAGAAAAGCTTTTTAAGAGTTCTCTCTCACCTTTTTGCAAAGCAATACAGGCTTGAAATACAGCTGGAAGCTCAACAAACAACACAGAAAACTATAATGCAGTAAAACTTTATTGAGGGTGTAGCATGTAGAAATGCAGTGTAATTGATAATAAAAGCCTTGAAATAGGCAGATGTTTGCGTCATTTAATGGGAAGGGAATTTTCATTGCTCTGGTGCAAAGGTGCTTTCTGCTGCTGCAACCAGGTGCAATTCAGCTCCTGTTGGGGAGGGGCCGCCAGATACTACTGGAAACCTGGGTTGCTCTTTAGCATTTCAAAGGCAGCTGCAGCTATTTTATCTGGATTGAAATTCTGTACCAGAAGGGCAAACTCTCAGATGTTTCGTTTCTCTGTGGCTATCACTGACGTGTAATTCTGCTGGGAAAAGTGATCGTGGAAGAGAGCCAAACCCAGCCAGGCACTGGAAACAGGGCAGAGTGCAACGAGAGATGTGCTGCAGGCAGGGGAAAGCCTCCCGGGGGCTGCCACAGCAGCGTTTGGGGTCCTGGGCTCTGCCATCCTCCTGCTCCCCCGAGACACAGGGTGTCCCACTGGCACTGGAGCCACAGGGGAGGAGGGAAAATGGTGCCACTGGAGTCTGCCACCTGCTTTTGTCCTAGACCCAGAATAACAGAAGGGAGATTTCTTGGTATGTCTGCATAGGGTGTGCTAAATAGTGCTAAAAAGGCCAGGCACAGGTGTTTGCGTGGTTACAGCCCATGCTTGTATGGAGATACTGGGGTCACTTTAGCCATGCGCCATTCTTAATTTATTTGAAGACATTTGGGCATGTTAAGTGATGCAGGATGCTCAAGGAGGGGTATGGTGCTGTGGGTGGCAGCTCTGTTCGGTCCTGAAAGCAGAAAGATTTTTGTGTTTTTCTAGTTATCTGCTGGTGAAAAAACCAACCAAACAAACAAAAAACACTGTTTCATTTATGAGGTTGGTTTTAGGTGGATCCTGCACGTGAAGATCCAGGCTGCAGTCATCAGCCAGTGAGAGCGAGCAATGAAGGTAAGAAGGTATCCCAAACCCAAGGGCCTGACTTTTCATTTCTTGTCTGCTTCCTCTGACTTTGATGGTTTGTTGTTTAATGAAGGAGCTCTAGCACCCCTTCAAACAGTAGGAGCAGCAGATCTCTTTGTTCTTTTTAGCCATTATTTCCTGTTATCTGTGACCTGCTATGCTTTATGGGCTTCCCTGTTCCTAGGCCAATCAGGACTGATGGGGCTTTTTTAAGGCTTGGTTTGGAGATTATTATTATTTTTTTGACTAATTTCTGCAAAAATGTGTAGGTTCAGCTCACACCTTCTAAACCTGGGAGAAGTCAATTAATTCCTCCTGAAAACTCTTACTAGGCAAAACTGCTCCACTTGCAAACACCAGACAGAAGGCTAAAAAAAGAATCCACAAAGTGCTATACTGCTGGTAAAAGGCTCTATAAATACATCAAAACCAGGTAGGAAATCAGTGGGACTGCTGACGAGGCTGTAAAAGGGGCAGGTGGGAATGAGGAAGCTGTAGCAGAGGAGCTTCGGGACGTCTTTGGGAATGTTTTTGCTGCTGAAGCTGTTGGGGGGCTTCCTGTACCCCTCCCAGTCTGTGCAGCGGGATGAACCAGAGGAGCCAGATCAGCCTGAATTAAATAAGTAATGGAGTAAAGAGATGGTAGGAGCAAAAGAAAGTACCTGAAGTAAATGGGTAACAGGAGGGATCAGGTCAAATAGATACAGGGGTGGTTAATAAATGGCCTGGACCCGATGGCTCTGACAGAAGGACCCAAAGGAGCGGTGCAGCAGCAGCACGGGGACCACTGCACTGTGCTGGGAGGACAGCCTAGGACAGGGCCGTGTTTCTCACCATCAGCCCCCCCGCTCTGCCTTTTCCACCGGCAGCACCAGCTGAAGAGGTTGGCTGGGGTCGATGGATGTGAGCAGCGTGCTCCATGTACCCTAATGACACTAATTATTGGGGGTGTTGGTAAACCGCAGAGAGGCCGGGTGACGTGCTGTATGGCTGGTGGTTTATTGTATATGTAAAAACAGCCCCGTAACAGAAACCAGGGGTGTTTTTTCCAGCAGATAACTAGGCAAATGCAGAACGCTTCCTGCTCACCAGCCCCAGAGGTGCTGCCTTTCACACGTAGGCTCCAGCTGCCCAGCTGCTGGCTCCTGCCTTGGGGACACAGAGCTGGGCCTTGCTTCTCCTCCGAAAGCAAGCCAAGGCCAGCAGCAGCACCAGGCCGGCACCTCCTGCTGCAGCCCAAGAGGTTGGCCAAGGGGCTGTGCCTCGCCTGCTCCCCGCTGTCCCCAGGCCCTGGGCACTGACCCCCTGGCACCACCTTTCTGTCTGGGCTGAAAGGCTGCTGTCCCTGGTAGCACCCTGAGGGACATCTGTCCCAAAAGGTTCCTCAGCTGGGCCACTGCTTTGTCGCCTGCTGTCCGCTGTCAGCTTCCTAAAAGTGACCTTCAAGTCTGCCTGGAGCAATGCTTGTGGAGTGGAGAGGGGGAGAAGAGCTCTCTGCCTCCCTGAGGTGCCCCCTTTGCCCCCAAGGCCCTCGCTGCCACCTGCCCTGTGCCCTCTGAAATGACCCGATTAAACATTAGAGGATTTCCACCTCTGGTTTAGTCACGGACAACCAGGCGCAGCTGGGAGAGGAAAGTCTGCTGCGCCTATTTTTTTGGAAAAAAAGTCTTTCTCTGAAATCTTTTATCTGCAGAGATCCTTTTATAGGGCCAGTTAGCCAAAATAGGGAGCTGCCCATGACAGAAGCCACAGCAGGAAACCCTGGTGTCTTAGAATCACATTTTCTTTTTAAAGAATTTGATTTTTCATATTTAAAAATATATATACTCCATATCTGGGGCATCCAACAAACTGAAGGCACTGTTGTAGTGCTAAGGGGCTTAATTCACTCTTGAGTAGAGGAATGTTGGTGGGAATCAGGGGTCACATCCAGGTGGGTATTTTGGTGCCTAACTTGCACTGAAATTAATAGGAACTGGGGTCCCTGAAGAGGAACTGTGGATCTGGCCCTACATATTGTTCCTGTAAATGAGGCAGGGCTAGTGCTTCACACACATAACTGTGTTGTTACTCTTCTCATGGCAAGGTCTTTCCTTGTACAATTTCCATCACATTCTGCAGCAAGCTAATGCTGGGTGGCAACAGCTTGCCAGAAAAATAAGCAAAAAGCAGGCTTCCAGCGGGCACAGCCCCAGGGTGAATTTCCTCGGCAAGCTGTTTGTGCCCCCCAAGCGCTCCACTCGCCTGGGTGCTTGGGACCTGGGCTTTTACTGACCTCGGTGGGAATTTTGCCAGAGATTTCAGCGGAGCCAAGGCTAACGGGATCTACCTGCTGACATAGGAAATCATACTTAATGATGATTGCCCCACATACACACACATACAGGAAATCTCTTTCTTTCTTTTTTTTTCCAATAGCACTTTATGAGAAGCCCTCTGCTAAATGGATGCAGTAGATGCCCCTCGCTTTTGTGGCTCTCCCGTAGCATTAATCTGCTCCAGTTTGCGTGGCATGAGATGCACAGCAAGAGAGAATATTTGCTTTTAACATAGCAGGCAGGGCGGTAGGGATGGGCGAGCCTTCAGGCTATCAGACTTTGTCCCCTCTCCGCGAGTTGGCAAAGTCCCTGCCACAAGATGGTGCTGGCTCTTCGCAGTTGCAGGAAGGACCGCAAGGAATGCAAAACCTTTGAATGAGCAAATTTCAGTCAGGGCTAAGCATTAACAGGGACCACAGGCAGATTTCCAGTATTCTGCTGACTTTTAACCCTCTCCTGTGTCACAGCCTCGTGCACCCTCACGCCCGTCCCTTTTCAGGCTTCTTAGCTTCACACAGCACACACAGCCCCTTGGGTTGCTGGCCGAAGGCACAGAGATTTATTCTGAACCTATTTTTTATTTTATTTTATTTTATTTTATTTTATTTTATTTTATTTTATTTTATTTTATTTTATTTTATTTTATTTTATTTTATTTTATTTTATTTTATTTTATTTTATTTTATTTTATTTTATTTTATTTTATTTTATTTTATT